GTCCTGCAAGTCGCCAACCCACCTCATGACCTAGCCGCCCATCGAAGTGAATTCTGTCTCGTTGAAAACCACCCCACCTATGCCCCTCTTTGTTTATTTCCACAACCTCAAAGCCTTTCTCTCGACTCATCCGCCATATCTCTTGGTTTGCGTTGACAACCGCTCTTTGCAAGTTGCTATCACGCACGTGTACCTCCTGTATCGTGCATATCACTACCTGTACCGTAAAATGGGGTTACTTTGTGACTGCAGGGGTTACTTTGTGACACGCGCTCCATTTTCTTTATTTTATATCTCGCGCCACAACCAGGCGCCGCCGAAAAGCTATGAGCCACTCAACAAGCTCGCCTGACATGCTGTGCCACCTAGCAGCAGCCGGCGGAAGTTCCCGCGCTCTGGAGCCACTCTAGACGCCCACGTGGTTAATGGTGTTTTAGCGCGCATTGTTGAAGCACCGTAAACTTTGTGTTCTCGACCCGTCCGCACGAGAAAACAGCGATAACAGGTATGCACTTCTGATTGTTAATATGTAGGCTAAAATAAACTGTAATCAAAATTTATTCACGTCATGTTTGTTTAAGGTTATAGAAAGAAAACTGAAATGTTGCTACTTCGCGGGGTAACTTTGTGACACGCCATTGCCAAGCCAGCAGAACGGGAAACCGACAACTGGAAAGAAGGGCAGCTCTTCCTCCGGTATCAGAGCTAGACGACCTAGGAAGAGGTCTTCTCTTGAAGACGACAGCGCAGAAGAAAGCAGTGACAGCGAATCGTTCTCAGATGGTCAGTATGGCGACAACAAAAGGTGGTCAGAAGAAGATACAAGTGATTCCGAGGTACTCTCCGGAAGTCTTGACAACCTATTGGACACAGACACTTCTAGCACTTCCGCGATTTCAAATACTAGCAACGTCCCAAAGGTCCGCTGTACGGGTTCCGGAGAAAGCACTTTCAAGAAGGATGACTTTGTCGTAGTTAACTTCGAAGGACAAGTTTTCCCTGGAAGAGTGACGGAAGTCAAACCTGAGGGGTACATCGTCAGCACTATGGAGAGTACCAAAAAGAATTGGAGTTGGCCGGACCGCGAATACGCTATTTTGTACTCAAAAGAAGAAATTTTGTACACAATTGAATCCCCTAGGCCGGTAGGCAAGCGAGGCATCCTTGAGGTAAAAGATCTTGATTGAGGTTGGACACGTATGAACAATTTGTAATTTAGTGTAACGTTTCCAGAGCAGAAACCAGTTGTAGATAACGCAAATAAACGTTTGATGGGGTAACTTCGTGCCAGACCTTTTTTTCCCTATCATATTCAGCCACAAACAACGTTGTCACAAAGTTGCCCCACACGACGGGGCAACTTTGTGACAACTTGTATCCTAGATATAGCCGTTTGTGTTAAAGATGCGGATTTGTAGAACATACCGTCGTGTGAGGGGAGGTTTTAGCAACGTTATGCCACTATTCATTCGCGTTTATGTGGATAATTGTTCAGCGAGTGAATGAAAACGTACGAAATTTGTCACAAAGTAACCCCATTTTACGGTACCTTAGGAGAAGTGGCGCGCATGTCATCGACGCCTTTCGCCAGTGTGGTTGCTAGTCCTACTGTATCTTTATTTAAGACATCCTTTAAACCGCCTGAAATTATCACTCGATTTCATTGCAACGCTCCCCCTAGCGTAAGTCGCCGCACTAAATCGAACGATTGCCTTCCACCAATGACACGCGCCATGTGTGACATCATTCTTATTTTATAACATCTCACATATATCATCATCAACTACCAGTACCGCCGTCTAGTTTATACCATCTTGCATCTTTTCATCGGATGGATGGATGGATTGATATGGCTGTACCATTTAGATCGGGCGGCGGCCAACGCCACCAAGCCGCAATACTTAGCGAACTAAAAACTAGATTAATTTTTTCCCCCCTAAATAGTGAGGTTGAGGACCCGCACATTGCAGCGAAGGGCCCAATTTTCACTCGTGCCCTGACTTCAGCCACCGATCAGATAACCTCCTTCTAGTTAATTCTACCCGCTTAAAGTCTATTTTGCCCTCCCTGTCCCTAAACCACCGTACTTTGAAAAACTCTGCGCCATTGTCCTGAACTATAGGATGAAGCCCTTTACAGAACATTATCAAGTGTTTGGCAGTTTTCTATTCCTCTGCACACGCACTGCATACCGTGTCTACCCTTTCGTATTTGGCCTGATAAGTCTTGGTTTGGAATACTCCCGTCCTGGTCTCAAACAGTAGAGAACTACCCCAAGTATTATCATAGATCCTTTCCTTGGCAATTTCTTGCTTACAAGTTCGATAGATCTTTAGTGTGGATTTCTTAATCATGCCCTTTCTCCACATGTCAGTCTCCGTTTCCTTCACTTTCTTCTTAACCGATAGTTCTTTTTGGTTTGGCCACCTGCTGTTTTCTAAGTATTTACGAGTCCATTTCCTGGTTCGCTTCCTCCGTTTTGTATCGACATTCTACATGTACAAGTGGCTGAATACCTTCCTAGCCCAACGCTCCTCCCCCATTTCTCTCAATCACTTCTCAAATTTTATCTTGCTGCTAGCTCCCTGCCCTCAAAGAATGTCCATCTCATATCACCTTGTACTCCCTGATTTGGTGTATTCCCGTCAGCTCCTAAGGCAAGCCTGCCTATTCCACATTGCTTAATTTCTAATCTTGCTTGAACTTACGATCCCATGAACAAGACCGCTTTGCCGAACGTCAGACCAGGAACCATGACCCCTTTCCATATTCTTCTAACTCAACCGTGTTCAAACGTATGCAACTACCTAACACTGTTGGGTTACTTTGTAAAGATGCAAAACAGAAAAGATGACATCCCAACATGGCGGAACTCACTTAAGAGATGATGGCACCCCATATTGGGCTCTTGAAGTTTACGTGTTTTTGTAGATTGCGATGTTATTTAGTAAGGTCATGAAACATCGCACGCACCAACTCAACCATTTTCACGAAAGTTAACAGCCCTACACGGCGGAACTAAAGCACCTCCGTAAAATAGTGTATACGTAGTTCACCAAGACAAGCGCGTGCTTAGGGCACTGCTTACCGTAATTCATAAGCAAAACCTGGATAATCTTTGTGGCCCTGTGTATATACAAGCAGCGATAGCCGTTTTTTTTTATAGTCTGATACCCGAGCGACGGCGCCGTGTGGTATTAATATGAACTGCTTCATGATGCCACTCTGATTGATTGATATGTGGGGTTTAACGTCCCAAAACCACCATATGATTATGAGAGACGCCGTAGTGGAGGGCTCCGGAAATTTCGACCACCTGGGGTTCTTTAACGTGCACCGAAATCTGAGCACACGGGCCTACAACATTTCCGCCTCCATCGGAAATGCAGCCGCCGCAGCCGGAATTCGAACCCGCGCCCTGCGGGTCAGCAGCCGAGTACCTTAGCCACTAGACCACCACGGCGGGGCATGATGCCGCTCTCATTGAAGAAACATTACCGAGACAAACTGCAGTCGTTTGCATCGGCCAGGGGTTGCATAAAGACAGAACTTGCCCCCTGCCCGAGTTACACCAGCACCTACCCCTCAAGACCTTTCTTATTACGATACAACACGGGCTCTCGCCCTGATAACGCCCTTAACTGCAACCCAAGCACAATCTCAAATTTGGTATTTTGATGCTGATTAGAGTTTTTAGAAGATGCGATGAACAGTTCATTCGCCGCCGAAGCAGAAATTTAAACTGTTGCTCTGCAGTAATTATCTTGTGCGTTTGCGAATGCCAGAGTGGCATAAATGAGCGATTTTCGCACATATCCTCATGTGCACTGCCACTATCTTTGCACTGCACAAAAAATATCTTAAGGAAAAGGGCAAGCGGGGTTTCCTTTTTAGGAATGTTGTAAAAGCTAGCGTCCTTTTCACGGGGGGGGGGATGAAGCACTCCGAGGCACAGAGCAGCAAGTTCCCCATTGCTCAGCACTCGATCGCCACAGGTACGTTGTGTGGCAGATTCGCAAGTCCACGTGTTTGTAGGACCATAGTCACGACGGTGATGCTATGTCGATTGACGGCATCGGCTGCGAACATCCAACAGCGTGTGTCGTAGACCACTGCGCCGTCGATGAGACGCCGTGACATTTCACTACAGCTGTACCTACTTGCTTGTAGATGCTGAAGAAAGGCATGCCTATTGAAGTTTCGGAACGCCCCAGCTAATTAGTATCTCACAGCTGAAACTGTAGATGACGAGCGAGAACAATCACACATAGCTTCACTTTCTGACCAGCACTGTCAACGGCATCAGCATGCTCATCGGCCGTCTTGGAGGTTTCCTGTCCCTGTCGTTCATTCATTCATTCACAAAACTTTGTGTCCTGAAGCCCGGTCTTTTCAGACCAAGGGGGGCCGCATTCATGTCAGTACCGTCAGGCCGAGCCTTGTGGCGTCATTGATTGGACTGCAACTAAAACAAATTCATAATTACCCTTGAAAACATTCATTGTAGGCGTTAGTTGAACCTTGTGAGACTGCTCATTTTCGCTTATTAATATCTTTTAGTCATCGAGAAAACGGTACCTCAAAATGCCCAAAAATACATGGTCCATATTGGGCCCAACCAGTGCTCTTAAAGGCCATAGTACTGCTCAAATGCAGGGAAGATAGCAGTAGCCCTTCAAACACCCAATTCGGCTAGTTTGCATTTAGAGTGTAGGGCAGCTGGGGGTTCACTAAAGAACACAAGTTTTGTGTGTCATGTGGACAGGCACCAAACACATTATGCAAGACAGCCGCGCACAAAGCTGATTGGCGCAACAAATAGTGGCGTAGTCAAGGGAGGGGGGGGGGGGGCAATTTGGGGTGTTCCATTTTCCAGCCCCCAAAACTTTATTTAAAAGTTTGCTTGGATGTCTTTACATGAACTGCTTCATGAACAAATGCATGAAAAAAGTTCATGCATGTCAACAACAGCCCAGAGAAAGAGTGCTCAAGCAAACTAATATGATTAATGGTTAATACATTTATTAACATACAGACTATACTACAAATTGATCTGCTACAATGCCGAGGTACTAGTCATATTACTAAAACAATGGCACACAATTAGATTAAAATTCGGGTGAATCGCTGGATCACAGCCCAGAAAACTTATGGCGGCATCATGGGAGCATTCATTAGAAAGGCGAATAGAAAAGAACACGCTTAGATGCATGTGTGTGTTCTGCGAACGCTCAATTTTCTTCTTGTAGCTGGTGCTGCTCGGAAAGTCACGTGAACTAAGCCTTTTTCCTCCTACTTAATTTTCAAGGTGGACATAATAATTTTTGATTTTGAGGCTGCTGAGAAGCAGTTCAGCACAGGAAAACAATCCCTATCGAAATCTTCGGTATTCCATTCTAACGATTCCGTATTTTAACAAGAATCCATACGTTTTTCTGAGGAATCTTACAGAAGCATACGAAATTATAGGAAAAGCATACATAACATTTCAGTAGGGTATAGTATTGAAAATGAACATTATGAGCAGCTGCCTCATTTCCGATATCACAATAATAATAAATATATAAAAAAGCTAGCGGCTCACTCGTTTAAAAAACAGGGCTGCCGCTGCGAGCAAAGTGACCTTCGCGCTGCCCAGTACACTTTGCAACGAGAGCACAACACAGTGCAAGTCATCCGCTGATCGCCTCTTAACAATAAGGTGCACGCGATCAGACATAGTAATTCAAGGCGCACACTTACTGCCAGAGCCCCACAGATATTACTCGTCCTCCATAATGCTCCCATGAACAAGCAAAGGAGGGGTGGTGACAGAAAAGTTGTTTAGAACCCTGATAACGCATGGCGCGCATGTCCCCCCAGACATTTATTTGCACTCTACCAACCTAACTCGTCTCCATTGGAGCATCAGAACTAAGGCCAGTTCTATCAGGACTATCTCTGGTCTCCTCCCTAAAAGCCTTGCATTATGCAGCAGCCCTTCAAAGAATAATTCCTTGGGCTTGAAGAGTCAAATATTAAAAATGAAGAGTCAAAAGTTAAAATATATATGAAAAACGACTTCATGCTGTTTTCTTTGATGTATAAAATGCTCCAGCCTCATCGGGACCGCAGGTCATGCTTAGGAATGCTGAGTGACAATAATCAGAACAATAAATATGCTGAAACAAGTGGATACGATTCATTGTTTGTCCCGTTATTATATTAACATGCAGACAGTACTAAAATCGACCTGCTACAATGCCGAGGCACTCGTCATATTACTCAAATGACACACAATTAAGACGCAAATATTTGGGCGAGTCGCTGGGTCACAAGATGCCAGCGCTGATGCTCTGGATCATCTCCTGCATCTTCTTCAGCTTGTCCAGATCAGCGGTCAACTTGGTCAGCTGGCTGGACTTGCTCTTGAGATCCTCGTCTTTCTTCTGACACTTGGCCTCGAGAGCATGCAGCTGGAGAGGAGAGAGAAAAGATGAGAAGACTGACTAAACCTGTAGTACATGGAAAGGGTTGCCATTAGACTTAGCAGAGCTCATTAAGCTTAGCACTAGGTATAACCCAAGGAGTTTCCCGAAGTTAACTAGAGCAGACTCTGGCGCTGCGATCGTTCAACCACCATAGGAACGACGAGTGGTACATGCATTGGCCTAGTCTTCGTGCTTGCGGGTTTCGAAAACACTTGTGGCTTTGTTTATTGCAGCATTTTGGTTTTGTTTCAGATAAAAGAGCAAACTGCTTTGAACTTTGTGAACCAAATTGAATTGGTGAGCCTAAACGTTTAGGGAGGTAAAGTGCAACTACTGAACATTTGTTGATCGTTGTTACATGAAAAAGCAACTTCAAGCCATGCAAAGCCAGTCGGAGACAAATCTATGAAGATTAGGCATATCCATGTAGTACCCATCATTCCCATGCTCCCCGAAGTGTGATGCGCTGAAGTGCCATGTATAGAAAACTATGGCATAACCCTATCAAGCACTGAGTGTGAAAAACTGTCTCTGAATGCGTCAGTTTTGCATAATATTATTTCAATGCATTCAATATTCTATTGTAAAAAATGTTTCATATTATGAAGGCATGCATTTCATAGTAATACTAATAAAATTAGAATTAAGTGTATTTATTCCAAAGATATTCATGTCCAGTTCTTACATAAACACCTGGAATCAAATCTTGAGCCAGAATGTCATGCCATTTGTTTGTCCATTAAATATTAATTTGTCGCAAAAAAAATTATATTTTTGATGTGTCTTACGGAAAGCCACAGGCTGCACATATCAATGCCCTCAGCAGTTGCATCACATGCATTATGAACGGAAGGTAGGTGAAGACATTGGTTATGCTCCAAATTAAACTCGTTTAAAACTCGTTTTTGTTTATTCTTAGCTTCTGGTTGATTAAGTAAACATGAACACAACTGTCCACAAGGCATCTCAAAGGGATAAGGCCTGATATTCTTCATAAGCCATCAAAGGGACACTAAAGCGAAACAACAAATCGACTTAGATTGATAAACTGTACCCTAAAAGCTCTAATGTTATAAATTTTACCATCACAGGTTTATTAATCAAGAAAAAGATCAACATAAAGGCTTCAATTTTTAATTTCGTACAGAAATTGCCAGGCATGATGTCAAAACATATTTTGTGTATCTCAGAAACATTTACTCAACTAAATTTTCAGAAACTTGGCATTTCAAATTTGTGGCATTTTCAGAGGACAACATAATCTGTTAGGCTTGTGCGAAAAGCGATTTTAGGTTCGAAGAGAATTCGAAGCAAATAGCGATTTTGGTTGAATTATTTTGAATTGAGTTCAAATAGTCTATATGACATATAAAGCAAAATAGGCATATTTATTATGACTTAACGAATCTGCACAATATTTTTTAATTAGAACTGGTATAGCGCATTATGGGGAAGAAGAAACGGCTGAGCAGACCGACACAAGAGGACAGAGCGCTAGTCCTCTTGTGTCGCTCTGTGTAGCGCTCTGTCCTCTTGTGTCGGTCTGCTCAGCTGTTTCTTCTTCCCCATAATGCGCTATACCAGTTCAAATACGACGAACCAACTCGCCCAATCTTCAACACTCGTGATTTTTTAATTAAGAAAAGGATGCTATCCCAATGCCATTTTAATTTTTGCTCAAAGAAAGTCTTAAGGTTGAGAAGTAGCAGGAACTGACTTTCGGTATAATACGATAGATACCATGTAAAATACGTAACATTTTAAAGTTTATTATACTTGGAGCATGTAAGCCGTCATAAGCTTTCAAGCATGAAAAAATGACGAGTCAATTTGAGGGTAATATGTTCACTTAAAAAAGCCCTGCAACACTTTTTCAAGTAGCCATGGAAGTTTTTCACTAAAGAAGCTTATTTCCTCCCAAATTAACATCCACAAAAATTTTTAGAATCAGTCCCGTACGAGCAAAGTAGCAAACATTCTTCACACGCTGCAATCGCATTCTCTCTTCTCGTCCCGACAAAAGCGCTGGAAGCTAAGCAAGGAGGGATGGCATGAGGAAAAAAATCTCATAACGCCCACCTCATGACACTTGTGCGCTATCTTTCTCACTTTTTTTTTTTTTTCGGGTACGCAGCTTTTCACTGAAAATGAGTATGTACGAATTTACAATTGGCGGCCTCCCGCGGCGGCCCCAGTAATGACCGAGTACGCCATACTCAAAAGCAGCCAATGACTGCGACAACCGATTTGTGAGCTTGTAGTATCATTTGCTGAGAGGCGAAAGCAATCTTTAGCCGACTTTGAGAATTTATTGCAAATTGCGGGCCACGGGCTGGGCTATAATATTTGGCTCGAGTGTTCTCGGTCGGCTGGACCACCGATCGTTAGCGTTTTCCGACCATACTCAAAATGTGTTGCCGAGCCCTTTTAAATTTGAAATGGGACTTCGCGGCACAGCGCATTTGCCTTGTAAAAGTGTTTTCACGGTATAACATCCTACATTGCAGTGATACAACCTTTGCAGGAAGTTACATTCAGAATGAATGATATACACGTATTCGTTCATTGCGAATACTTCGAAATTTCCGATAATTTAAATTCGTATCGAAGTGAATTCGAATATTCCAAGGATTCAAATATTTGCACAAGCCAACAACTTTTATTTGCGAAACAAGTAGTAGGTGCCATCAAAATCAATGACGTCCCCGACGTTTGCTGTAACAATTTTAAGGTGATGTAGCCACACGCACTTTTTTTACCGCGATTTATTCAAGGATGCGTGCGATATTGAAAATTGAGAAAGCATAACGTACTAATGAAAAAAAAGTCAGTTTCGTCAAAAGAGCAAAGCAATGAATGCGATAGCAACATATTGGGATGTTTTACGAAGCAAGGCTAGCATTTCTTAAGAGCAATATTTGTTTTAGTAAACGTGCGCTTGCTAAGTAACAGTTTTCTACGGCACGGCCGCAGTAGATGACCACAACAAGACTCGTGCTTAGCGATGGCGTTGATATACGAAGCGAGGCTGGCAGTCAACTCATTAAGGTGCGATCTCGCGTAACTCTACAAAATGCTGCTGTAAGAGTACACGGCCACTCCAGGTACATTTTTGGCACAGTTTTTTTTTGTGTTGAGTGCACAGCTCGCAGAAGCTCCCGCCTGCTGTGGGTGCGCATGCCGCACATCGATTGCTGCCACGATAGCGCGGCAACTGTAAGCGCCCTTTTCGCCTTGTTCGCTCACGAGATGAGCGAACCCACGCTGATGACCTCGGCCAGAAAGGCGATGCTCGCTCCACAGAAAGAGGAGGCTGGTGCATCTTTCCCCGTATATATATCTATACATACACAAGAATGGCGGCGATGGCAAAAACCAGCCAAGATTGTTCATATAATTGCTGTTGCAATAAAATCATTTCTCACTTCAGAGTCATTTTCAATTCGTGGACACAAGAAAGACAACAGTTGTGCTAAAGCTAGGATTATGCTTAACGTAGCTCGAGTTTCCATTGCAAATAAGCTGCATGCTTGCAACTTTTTTTTTTTACCTGTTGCTCCAGCGCACTGTTATCTTTTTGCAGTGCTATGCTGGCCTCGTTTATACTCTTGAGCTCAGCCTTGACCGACTTCACAAGGGCTGTCTTCTCATCCAAGCTGCCTTGGAGCTTGTGGAGGCACCTTGCTTGATCTGGATGAGGAAACAAAAAAAAATTCAGATGAAATGAATCATAGGAGTATGTTGTGCAAAAACCGAATTTCGTCACACACATCCCACTTCTGGATACAAACTGCATCCGCAACTAGAGCCGAGGGAAAAAATAAATTGAAAAAATCCCGCCCGCACTCCTTGCATTACTGTGAAGCCCTTACACTCAAATATCGATATAACAAACTCTGATATAACAAAATATCGGTTTTAACAAAGTAAGTCAGTAATAGTATTGCAGTAAACAGTGTTAGGAATACTTTTATAACAAATTTTCGAATATAATAAAGTTGTTTTGCTGAAAATGTAACTTTGTTATAGTAAGGTTTGAGTGAAACAAAATATCCACTACTACAAAGCAAATGAAGAATAGTCTTGCAATAGACAGTGTTAGGAATATACTTTTATAACGAATTTTCGGATATGACGAACTTGTTTTGCTGTAAGATGCAACTTTGGTATAATGTAGTGAGGTTTGAGTGTATGTCAACCCTACTTGCTCAATGAAACTCGTAGTTTGCGCTGCGTCTTTGCCAAGTACGCAATGAACTGGCCATTTTTTGTTTATGTACGATTTTCAATAGATCTAGCATGAAACGTGCAGCAAATGTGTTATTTATGGCTGAATTGACTTCATTGTTACAAGATTTACCAGCATGGCGAGCTGGAATCCAAGAGGACAATCACACAAAATATACTGCACAACAGTCAAGTCGACACCAGAGTACAATTCAGCGTTTCGCTGCATTGCTCCTCTCAGCCCTTTATTCACATAACTCAAACCTCGATATAACGAATGCAGGTATAATGAAATACCGGTTATAACGAAGAAAATGAAAAATAGTTTTGCAATAGGTATAGTATTGGGAATATACTTCTCGAACCAATTTTCGGATACAAGAAACTTATTTTCGTGTGAGATGCAACTTTGTGGTAATGAAATTCGAGTGCGATTCTAGTCACTAAATAACCAGTGTTAACGCGCTCAATCCACAACCTTGCAACGAATCTTGAGGCCCTCACCTTTCATTTTGGCCTCGTGCTCCTTGAGCAGCTTTTCTTGGTTCTGGTTGGCCAACTCGAGCTCTTCGTTTGCCTTGGTCAGACTGCAGACACAATGAAAATGGTCGGCAAGCTGGATTACCGCATGTCAAAACTTGCCCTTGGCGACCAATGGCGACCAAAGAAGAGGACTCAGGGGAAACCAGAGCTTGTATCGTGCATTTTGGTATCACCACATTAAAATGCATCCCAACTGGTGCCATTCACACCAATATCCCCAGTAGCCCCATTCAGATGTCCCAACTCCAGTGCCATCGATTCAGTCGGCACTATTGCAATTTCAAGCAGAAAGTGACTGAAAAATCGAATGGAGATACTGGCCCAGAGAAGGGTCGTTTCAATCAAAGCAATTGTCCACAACCAAATGCTTGCAATCAACCCGACTGCATGAACTCTGCAAATCAGCAGTGTGAATGAATACTTTCAGCTGTGTCGGCAATTCTCGCAACATGCAGTGACGCGAGGTTTTGAGTGAAACTCAAACAAAGTAAATTAAAACAAAAGTAGTGTTAGAAGGGAGGACAAGTAGACGGCTAGCAGCTATCAAAGTGTTGCCTTGTACTCTCTCCTAACACCAACTTTGTATTCTTTTACTCAAAGTTGTGCTAAAAAACAATACGAACACCATAGCATACCAATTCACCTAAAACGCTATGCTTATTGCCTTCTATGGTGCTATGTTTTCAAGAACACCTATTGTGTTTGTTCAGCTGTAACGAGCGCACCATTTCGAGCCAATCTGAAAAGCAACAGGCACGCCAGAGAGAGTTTCAGTTTGTTCGAACACTACATAACGCTCTTGTTACACAAAACCCGAAGGGCGGGGACAGTTTTGTTCAGTTAAAAAGGAGCTTTGTTTACTCAAAAAGGAGAAGAAATAAATATGAAACCAATCATATTAGAGGCAACTACTCCATTTAGGCAATTTTCATTTAATGAGAATCTACTGTATACAGCATTTACATATTACCGGCTTATATAGCAGTAAATGCAAGCGATCTAATTGGTTGTGCCACTTAGTGACACTGAGATGAATATGACAAATACTGCACACAAATAGACAACTACTACGGCTGTTACTAAGTGCATACTGTATTAAACTGCCGTCTTCAATTTTTTATCATTATAAATTATGACATGCCATCGAGTAATTGAAAAAGTTGGCTAGCCACTGTTGTAGACAATGTATATGTTTAAAACAAACACAGCATCTACTATAGCTGCTGTTCCGTTAGACACAACTTCATTACATCAAAGTGTGAATGTGTCCTGCAAAATGTACTTTTTTCTATGCCTTGAACCAGCACCACTCCATGTAAATAAATGCCACAGAAATATTAATTACGCTTCGTGCTTGAGTTTCAAGGAATCGTTGTGTTTCTGGAGCATCGCAATCATCTCCTTCTGAGACTGGATCTCCTGCTGCGCAGACTCCAGGCTTTTCAGGACCACTTCGAGCCTGCATAGAGACGCACAAAAGCAAGGCAGTGTTCGTTATCGATTTCAACAGCACTGTACGAAAATCAAGCTGCTGGTATGCAATCAGGCAAATGGGGACAAGTGAAGTTTCGAAACTTCCTGTCTGACCTGCTACTTCCCCTCCCCTTGTATTGAGGTGCACAGTGCTTGAATATAACAGTATTCTTTGTCCATGCTGGAAACTGGACCTGGGTGCAATCGCAAACGATTCTATTCCTTCATTCTATTAGCCGAAGCTGTTGCTTCAATTAGGTCGAAGTGCGCCATCAGCCACCTGCAATTTGTGAAGTGTCACTTTCACCAATCGTAGACTGCCAATGACAGCAAAAAGCCTAGAATAAAGGAAGAGAATCCTTCCACGATTGCACCCCTACACCTGCGTGTCTAGCAAGTGAAACAGTTCAGTCGCTACAGGCAACAACATGGTCATGCATTTATATCATGGCAATGCATTTATATTTATATGCAGGTCATGCATTTATATCCAGACAACGAAATGTGGCAATGCGAAATGCAATGCAACCTTGAGAGAGGATTAGATTGCCACATCAGAAATGACCGACCTTCAGCAATTGCACAATTGAGGGCATGAAGGAATTAGCGGTAAACTGCGCACACAAATACGCTCGCAACTGCCACACCTTCGCGGGCACAACTTCTGTACGCTCGCTAGTTCTGGATGTCTGCGCTCGACACTGCCTCTAAAACCTGCAAGTCACAAGAGCTTTGCTTCACACTAACTTCTGAAGTTTTCAGTGCCGAAAATATGATACCGTTATGAGTAGGCTTGTGCGAATATTTGAATACTGCAAATATTCGAACGAATGATGTAGCATTTCAATTTGCTTTGAATCGAATTGAGATTATTGAAAATTTTGAATTATTTGAAACCAAAGAATAGATGCATATTAATCTGCACGTGTCACCCGATAAAGGTGGTTTCGCTGCAGTAGAAAAGTGCTAAGCCGTGGAAACACATGTCCAAGAAAAAATCTGCACAGCCGCGAAGCCCCCTCTTCAAGGTTAAATGAGGATATTACCCTCACATCGATTCATCTTTCAAGTTTGAAGGCCTGGTATATAGACTTCAGTTATAACAAATTAAAGAAATAACATAGTTTACAGGCTATCCCTTGCATTCTAGTGAAAGTCAAATTCTGCTACTATTCAATGTTGCCGCTTTCTTTGATGCAAAAAATTTTATTTGCAACAACCTTGTCTCAATTTTTTAAAAATATTGTGCAAGTTTGTTAGGTCATGAGGAATTTGCCCACAATTTTTTATAATATGCAATACATATATATGCTATTCAAATTTGCTTCAGACCTAAAGCTCACTATTCCCAAGCCTAACTATGAGGCTTTCGTCAAAGCGGCAATAATACTCGGCACGTTAAAGCTAAACGAAGACATAACGCAACAAATTAAATTCATCCAAACTTTCATGTATCGAGCACAGCGGGGTACTCCTAAGCAGTTTTGTCCCCCTTCGTGTTCAGCCTGAACAAATGTACTAAGCAGAAAGGTGTTCTTGCATTTGAAGTATGCATCGAAATGCACGCATATTGGCAGCATCTCGAGCTTACAAGAAAGATGCCTCATGTGCAAAGCTACCCCGGTGAATTCAAAGCAGGGTATACATTAAGTGCTTAAAGCATTTTAAAGAAATGAGAAAAACAGCGTAACCAGCGAGACTAAATTACACTTCTACAGTACCGTAAACTTCACGCTCAGAGTCATAAAGGTACTGGGTGTGCAAGGAAACATGGGGAAAAAATTGGGAGGAGACCCTGATACTTGAACTTGGGTGTCTGTTAGTGGCGAGTGCGTGTTTAGGTTCATCTGCCGAGAGTACTCCTTGAGCTAACCCCGTTTCACGTGCTGCTGAAGCCAATTACAGAGGCCGTGTATAAAGAAACACGTGGTTGAGATTTCCGCTGCCAAGTGCCCCAGAGATCTCAGTTTCTCGCAATCTTTCAATTAATGCAATTACTTTGAATAATTATGCTGACAGTTTATTGGCTGTTCAAGGTTACCCGCCACGGCTAACGCACTCGGCTGCTGACCCGCAGGTCGCAGGGTGAATCCCTGGCAGCGGCGGACGCAATTTCGATGGAGCACGGAAATGCTCTAGGCTCGTGTGCTTAGGTTTAGGTGCACATTATAGAGCTCCAGATGGCCGAAATCCTGGAGTCCTCCACTATGGAGTCTCTCATACTCATATGGTGATTTCGGATGGGACCCTCATCATGTTATAGCTCGAATATCATATATCTCCAATACGATATTCTCCCTATTAGGAAAACCAGAAGAGAGTTCTCAACCGTAAGTGCTAGAATGGAAACAAAGTCATTTGATGGTTGTGCCACTGAAATTTGGTGGCAATACCACTTCGAAGTTCTAATGCTGTCTCAACACGCAACATCGATTTCGATAATGCATATTAGGATCTCCTTAAGAAGTTTTTTTGGCTAGTCTGCAAACTTTCCACTGTTTGTAGAATATCTGGTTTATCACGGCTAGGAATGGGGGCCTTTACCTTTTCGCTTTCACGTCAAGGTCATTATTCCTCTGTTCGAGTTCCTCCACGTGGGCCTTCAATGCTTTCACCTTGGCTCGCGACGCTTTCAAGCTCTGCACAGTCTCTTCGCTGCGCTTCTCCACCTGAAAATGGCAACATTGTTAACCCTTCCAGGTGCAATGCTTGAAGAACTGTCTGCAAATTCTTCAAACTTGTAAACTATAATTTGAGGTGACTCACATTGCAATTCTATAAAAATGTCGTAACATCCTGAATTGCTGCTTCAAGTAAGTAATGTTAATTAAACTAATTAAATAGCTATCATTATGCGATTTATGTTCTGTTTTCTTATCAGGAGAACCAAATTTCATGCTAGAAATATAGCGAAACGTTTCTTGTTGTTACTGTGGACTCTCATTCGGTGGAACCTCAAGGGACCAGAAAAATGCAATCCATTCAACAGGAGTTGCATTTATTAAGAGATAAACAGGGGCGGAACACAAGTACCAAACAAATCCTACCAGAGGCAGTTCATTTTAACCAGAAATTCCATCTAACAGATTTCCGCCTGCTGAGTGTCTACTGAATATTTATTTCGAGCAGAGAAAAATTGTAGTTTTCATGTGACCGTCGAACGTAGTGGTGCCTTCAGCAAAGTTGCGTACAACAGTACTCGGTAAAAAGAAGCTAAACGAAAACATTTATAATGCAAGAGGCTGAATGTGTTCAAACCTTCTTGTATCTAGCTTTTCGCTACAGACTAGTCGAGGCAACTAACAAAAACAAGGTGGCTACACAAATGAGTACAAGACACCTGAAACAATTAACACACTCGAAACGAACACCTTTCATAGAAAGTGACACGGTTGCGGCGTGCTCTTGGTGATGCAAGACAAACCACAAACTGAGTACATTCGCAGGCCCGTTTGCACACACAAATGGTGATTGTGACAACATCTTACGGCACCACGTGTTTGGAATTGTGGTTAAGGAAAGATGCGAGTCGAAAATCCAGGCTTGTGCCAATATTCAAATGCTTTGATTATTCGAACAAATAATGCAATATTCCAGATTACTTCGAATAAAATTTAAATTTTTGAAAATTTCAAATCATTTGAGACAAACGAGTAAATGCATGTTAATCCGCATGACACATTTTGGAAAGGTGGTTTCACTGCAGTGTAGAAGTGCAAAACCGTGAAAGCATCTTTTCGTGTGCATATTGATTTGCATGTAACTCACTGTAAAAGCAGTTTCACTGCAGTAAAGTTTTGTTCAGCCAAGAAAACAGGTACCCAGAAGAAATCACACTGCCACAAAGCCTCATTTTAGAGTTAAATAGAGATATTACCCTGTGATCGCTTCATTTTTTCAATTTCAAAGCTCCTTATACCGACTTATATGCCCCAAGTATAGCAACTTTTAAAACTTGATGTATTTTATAGTCTATCACCTGCATTATACTATAGTCAAGTCCTGCTACTATTCAAAGCTGTTTCCACTTCCTTTGATGAGAGAAAAAATGGCATTTGCACAGGCCTTGTTCGAATTTTCAAAAAATATTGTGCAGGTTAGTTTAGTGATGACAAACATGTCCATTTTTCTTTGTAACATGCAATATAAATATTATTCAAATTTGATTCGAAATTATTCGACCAATACCATTATTCGTTCGAACCTATATTCACTATTCCCACAAGCCTACAAAAAACACAACTGTCTTTCCAAAATTATATTTTTCGTATTTGTTCGGATTGACAAGTATACTTTCTCTACTTTCCCCAACGAAAAAGTTGACAATTTCAATTAAACTCGAAGTAGGTTAAAATTGCTTTTAAGGAGCACAAAGTGGCTACTAAAGCTAAAAGGAGCCCATTTTTTAAAGTACCTAAAAAACTATCAACTGGTTATTTGCCCCTGCATTTCACATGAGGAGTCCACATGATCAAAATATCACATTGCCAAGCTCTCATGATGGAATAAATCATTGCAAAGAACATCTTTGCCGCTTAGATGAGCTTTGACTTATGCCTTTAAAATGCATTTTTCTCGAGACGACTTTCAGACAACTTCGCGAGTTTAGACGTCATGTTTTCACCATTTCTGATAGTCCGCTCAGGATGAAATTTTGCCTGCACGTTCCACCAGTATAATTATCACAAACCTAAAGCGAGCAATTGGTATGGGTTCAGGAGTTTGAGAATCCTCACATTACAGTTTTTCTTGTCCACTAAAATGTCTTGTACACACCCACCCTCTTGATAGTGATTTGCATTCTACAGCTAATGTAGAGAAATATGAGCTGTTAGTGACTTGGAACCATTAAAGTTTAGTGGCATAAACGATTTGTCCACAATGAACTATACTTTACGCTTTGCCTAGGCACAAAGCTAAAACTGTGCAACCTACTACAAAACTAATTACAAGTATGAAATCACCATAAAAGCCTGTATACACAGCAAAGATGTCTTTGCGCTAGGCTACAGATTAACGCAACTTTTTTTTTTCTCGAACCCCATTTCCCCATAAGCATTAAAGAGCAAACAGCACACATATATAATTTGATCTTTAACGCATGCTTTCAATTGCTAGCTCATGGAACATGCTCCTGCATGTCTTCGCAAGAGCAGAACTGGTGGCAGCAGGCCAATGACGCCCACCACCTAAACTAAATTGCCACTCGGAATCCCCTCCCCCTCCCAACTTGAGATAGAACACCGCCTGGTAAATTTTTATTTGAGATCACACTGTGTCAAATTGTGGTTTGATCATGCAAAACTTTAGATTATCACAGCACGAAGCATTCAGTTATGCCACGGTATTCACCTTACCTCAACCATCCTCTCCTCGGTGTCTTCGATGCGGCGCTCAGATGACCGTAAAAGGCTGCGCAGCTCTTCTACCTGAAAGTCGTTAGATATAGACAGCCTATGTTATTAGGATAAACAGTACAGTGTTTGTAAATAGTACTCAGTAGTTATAAAACTTGAAACTCTCTGACATTGAACATTTTGTTATGCTGAAGTTTAACTTGCACGTAAACACTGGGTATATCTTACATACATAACACATTTATCCAAACTGTTGCGTCAGCGAGAGTCAAGCAGACTTTCGCCATTCACAATCTATGCACAGATAGTCGTAACAGCAGCTCACTAAATTATCAGCATGCTGTTAAAGATTGCCTACTTATGTGCTCTCCATGCAGTTACACATTCGATAGACCTTCAAACTTTAGACGATGTAGTAAACCGACACTGAATGCCGCACATACTGAATCGAAAACTCGGTTAGAACTTTTATACCTGAAATATGCCATGTATAAGCCTTAGCCTTGAACTAAAATCGCATGACACGCGTTTCGCACGCGAAAAAAAAAAAAGCGAGCGAATAAGAAACAAAATGCCTGCATTGCTGTCTCGTGAGGCGTTTTCCTTCTAGAATTGCATGCCTTAAAGAAGCACCGACACAAAAAGGTTGCACGTCTTTTTTTTTGCAATAGGTAGCTTATGACCCACTCATCATGGCTGGAAACATCATTTGCGCGAGTTCACGATGGTCATTTATTTAGACACCTTCTTTGAGTGCCCAGTGACACCTTTGGTTTCTAAGAGCACCGAGCTAGGCAGGAGAAATTGCTGTGGCTAGGGAAACACAGCTGGCCACGTGACCACGCAAAACCGACCAATGGTGCGAGAGAAGCGGGTTCCCACACTGACAGCCAGCACATGCAAAGCAGCAGGCACGAAAACAGAAATCCCACTCAGTTCAATTGAAAGCAATTAGCCAGCACAAACTCGTGACGTAGGCTTGTTTACATTGTCGTTGCCTTGGCCTCTGCATCACAAGAGACCTCCCATCTAACTCAGTCCCACAGGATGCAGTCTAGTATTAATATCTTGGGTTTAACATGCAAAAAACACCATATGATTACAAGAAACTCCGTAGTGGAGGGCTCCGAAAATTTATACCACCTGGGCTTCTTAAATGTGCATTGAAATCTGTACACGGCCAGCAGCCGGGATTCGATCCCGCAAGCTTCAGGTTAACAGTCAAGTTCCATAACCACTAGACCATCGTGGCAGGGCACAGCATGTATTTTAAATTAATTTCAAATATGTTCTAAGCTATATTAGCTCTAGATATGTTGTAGATGTATAGACGGGTCAGTGGTTAAAGGGAACAGCTGCGTGCACAGCACATTTGGTTGTCGCCATCTCACAGAAGCATAGTGGTCGAGATTTGCTTGAGGCTTCTGGTGGTCGAGCGTTCCATCTCCTTTTGACAGACTAGTGTTGTACAATAAGATTGTTTATTTGTCCACTTGCTGTTAGATGGCCAGCAATATTAATGGTGTTCGTTCAAGTGTTCCCTTTAACAGTGAACTATACTGTACATGTCTCCGCATAAATTTATCTCGTTCATTGCATCTCCTTCGAAATGTGTGAGCGCTTCTTTGATGGCTACTGATGTAACAAGCTATTGGGTATACCGTATAAGACATCAGTGGGCCAACATTAAAACAAGGGTTGACTACAAATTGAGAATTCGATACCATGCCTCTAACAGACCTTGTGCAAGGGACAGGTACTGCGCCTTTGGTGAAGACCTCTTACATAATAGACAGACGTGCAATTTCATTATGGATGCGGCCGAGTACGTATTTATCCCACCATGCGTTCATCACATGCAAAATTGAGCAGTGCAGTTCGAGCTTTACACAATAAGATACAGTAGCAGTACACGAATACTTGAGGACGACATTGAAGCACACACACCTCAGCCTCGTTCTTGGCCTCAATGCAGGCGTACTTTGTGACCAGCCGATCTGACTGCTGAAGAGCCGCAGTCTTCGTCTCGAGCAGCTGCAGAAGCTCTTCTTCGCGAGCCTTTATGGAAAGAAAATGACACAGACGTGAAGCAATTATTTGCGAGCTATGCTGCACCGTTTTGCACATTTTTACCTGCGAAAGTTTTGTTAACGATAAGAATTCTTAATAGGTTGTAACCTTAACCATTCACCCCTTCAGGCAAGGTAAAGTCAAACGGTTTCTAGGGTCCGTACTGTATATTGCACATTATAGGTCGAACAGCAGTGAATCCGAGGACAAGATTGTTCATCAGACCTCTCAGAAAAGTCTCGTCAGACCTCTCAGACTTAATGATTCCAAGTCGATTTTACCATTCCCCATAAAGGCTGACTTCGATTATAAGTTGACACCCGAACTTTGGAAGGCCATTTTACGATAAAACGTCGACTTATAATCGGCAATATATGATATAAATATCACACTTTCTCTATTGAAAACCAGAGTGAGAAGCCAGTCTTGTAAATGTAGCAGCCCGCTAAAAAACTGCTATGTCTTGATTTTATGTTGAAGTGCTGCTTCACAATTTGCCTTATTCCCTTCAGTCCTTGTTATTTTCGTATGTCGAAGTGTTATGTATTACCTGCAATAGTGAATTGACATTGCTCAGAATACAACTGCAGGATGTTTTATGTACACTCATACCTCATTATAACAAAGTCAGATCTGTTACGAAAACACTTTGCTATATGCAAAAACTTGCTAGAAACGTATATTAGCACCATCTGCAACAAAGTTATTTTTTCCCTCGTGATAAACAATAATTCGTTATATCGAGGTTTGAGTGTACAGTTTTATATAGGTTCATTGAATGTGAAAGCAATTTCAGTAGCATTCTGCATTAAATATGCAGGCCATTGGTCTATAGCAGGGGCGGCGCCAGGATTATTTATTTGGCGGGGGTGGGAGGCATCCCACAATTAGAAAGTTCATTCAGGGGGGCAAGAAGACGGGGAACAGTCATTTTATTATGAGTATGTTCCCTGTTGGGAAGCAAGGGGGGGGGAGGGGGCAGGCGAAGATTTCGGAGGAGCTCCAGCTCCCCCATGTGCCCACCTCCTGGTCATCAGCTTCACTGCACAAATTGACCCCTCGTAAAACTGGCAAAGCTTCACCACAGTACAGGCTACATTGCAGAGAAGCTAACAAAAGCATCGCCATCATTTCGGGGTGCACATAAGCATCCCTTGATACGCATTGCAGACACTTGTTCAAGTTATTTTTCCCTTCATGGCATGTAATTTTCTTTGGTTAACAGTACACGCTTCGTAAATAGATAATAATAACATTAGTAATAATATCTGGGGTTTATCGTGCCAAAACAACGATATAATTACAAGAGACGCTGTAGTGGAGGGCTCCAGAAATTTCGACCACGCGAGGTTTTTAAACCTGCACCCAAATCTAGGTACATGGCCTCAAACATTTTTTCACCTCCTCAGAAAATGCAGCCACAACAGCTGGGATTCAATCCTGCGACTTTTTGGCTAGCAGTCGAGCATCATAACCACCAGACCACTGCGGCGAGGCACTCTCCCTAAGTGGAGAAACATTTGAAATAGAAATGCTGCTTAAACGAAGGAGCTACCTCCAATCGCCAGCAGTCCATTTGTAGCCGTTAAGGCAAACATTTGTGAACTTACTTTGAGCTTGAAGATCTTGTTCTCATAGACGGCCAGAATCTCAGATTGCTTCAGCTCTCCCGCCTGCGTAACGAGCATTTGATAAACGTAGTGGAGAAAGGAGATCCTTCAGAATCCTGATAGATGTAAATTTGTTGATTATGCACGAGCTCCATCTTTGTTAGTACAGATCAACACAAGTATTACTAGGCAACACATTTGTTGCCGCAGGCCCAGACCAGCTAAAATGAAAACTGGTCTTTTTAACGCAAAATAGATTTCAGGCATTCTAAAAGATGTCAAAAGCATGGACGACTAGAATGTCTTGCTTTTAGTTAAGAAAAAACTTAGTACAGGGTTTGAATAGCAAGTAATGTGCTTGTGCAAATGTTCGAACAAATACTGCTGTATTCGAATTCACTTAGAATTGAATTCACATCGTTGAAAATTTTGACTTGTTCGAGGCGAATGAATAGGCGCGTATTATACTACATGCAAAACCCCGTAAAAGTTGTTTCACTGCAGTAGAGGGTTGCTAAACTGTGAAAGCACATTGTTTGGTGTGTATTAATTCGCAGGTAACTTTGTAAAAATGGTTCCACTGCAGCAAAGTAGTGCTCTGCCGTGAAAACACATATCCAAAAGAAAGCTGCACTGCCACGAAGCCCCAATTCAGGGTTAAATGAGAATATTACCCTCACATTCATTTATCATTTTCGTAAATGTTTTAGTTTATAAGCTTGCTAAACCGGCTTATATGCTGCAAGTATAGTTAATATTTATAGTGTAACATAGTTTACAGGCTATCGCTTGCATTCTACCGAAAGTCTGAGCCTGCTTCTATTCAAAGTTGTCTTCACTTCCTTTGCTGAAAAACAAAAAAAAAAAAAAAGGCATTTGCACAGGCCTTGCCTCAATTTTTTAAATACTGTGCAGGTTAGCTTGGCCATGGCAAATATGACCTTTTTTCTTTTTAATAAGCGATATATACACTACTGAAACTCAATTAGAAATTGTTTGACCAAGTTCACTGTTTCCAAAAGCCTAGCTAATACACTCGTACCTCATTATAACAAAGTTACATCTTACACAAAATTAAGTTTGTTATATTCAGAAATTCGTTTAAAAGATGTATTCCTCACACTATTGTAGGACTTTTTTCATTTACATTGTTATAACAAAAGTTTAGTTATATCCGGGTTTGTTGTAACGAGGTTTGAGTTATTAAGATGCCCAGGGCTACAAGCTACATGGACTGCCATGATAGATGAGAAATCAAACTAGTAACGATTATTTTTAAAACAACACTTCTTTATACTTTCAAGCCTCTGACCCATGTGTTGTTTAGTGAAACGTGTTGACACCTGCCCGCGGCTAGTGCGGCAGAGTCAACCATAGGCGGGCAAACTCGCTTATGAGTTGAATCACTCAGACTCGTGTCGACTGCGACCGTGCGCAGAGTCCAAGTCTGAGCGAGTCCGTATGAGTCATATTCTGGCAAGTACGAGCCAGTTGCAGTGGGTTTGACATTTTTTTGCCGACCTACTTGCGTCGAAATGGCTACTCTAGCAACGCCGACATCAGCCAAAACAAGGAACGATCGGCATATGGATGTGTGAAGAAATGGGAGCGTGCTTTGCTAGGTCGAAGTGTTCCCGTAAAGTAGGCCCGCATCACTCTGTCTTTCCGACCCGAATAAAAAGGCAGTGCTACAAAACCCAGCTGGTTGATAGCTCTGGCATGGTTCTTTAGAAACTTCATGAAGAGCCACTCAGATGCTCCTTGTCAGTAGTGAAGTTTATAGACAGAATTAAAAATTTGACTAAAATACACTCATCTTAACGTTTTTTCCGATTTTTACTATTTTGTTTATTTAGTGTGCTCGAGGCAACCCAGGATACCTGCGTTGCCTCCAAGACATTATCGCAGGGGAGACATGTTTAGTGTGACATTATACATATTTTGCATAGACAAACAGCAAAAAGATATGAAACAATGTCACTATTAAGGCAAACATAGATTAGCGTGTTCATAATTAACAAAAAGCTCAAAGAAAAAAAAAACATTCGGACAATTTTACATTATTGTAAACACAATTGTGATTGAAAATCATCATCATATACAGAAACAGTTTTCCTGTAACAAGTGTTAATCTTGTACAGTTTATGGAAAAAATTGACCTGGAAAAATTATTTGTGTTGCAACCAAACACATGTTTGAGCAAGCTATGAATCTATACCTCGAAGCTCTGCTCCAGCTTCCGCGTAATCCTCTCCATGCTGTTTTCAACAGAGAGTCGCCTGTTGTTGTTGGCGGGCGCGGCAGAGCGTGACAGCGTTCTCGTCATGTGCCGTGGTGGGGAAGGCTTGTCTCGCTTCGCGGGAGACTCCAGGGCCTTGCGCTTGCGATTGACTGACACCAGGGACTGGACGAACCTGCGCAAGGCGCCCAGTAGTTTTCCAGTGCTACGTGAACAAGTTGCATAAACACCAGCAACTCTGCAAGAAGTCCTGAATTGCCCAAGCAACTCTCGAATAAACCACCACTGTGCATGAAAAAAAAAAAAAATAAGCGTGCAAGAACACAGCGCTCGTGCAAGGGAAAAGAAGTACACTCATACCTTGATATAATGAACCTAGATATAACGAAATATTCGATGTAATGAAGACTAATATTCATTTACTACTTTATATAATAGATATTTCATTATACATACTGGGGTTCAATATATCAAAGTTTGAGTGTATCTCAATTGAAATTTCGGCATGCAGCAGTGGCAGACCCGCAGCCGTAATTCCGCTACATCAGTCTCGCAGCTTCAGAATGGCGATTCGCATCGTGGCACATGTCATTTGCCACAGAACCGAGCCAAAAAATTTTATGCAGTGCACCAAAAGTCAAGATTCCAGATGCTTTTGAAGCGCATGTTTTAGATGCTAGCATGGTCATGCCTTTACGGATTACAAAGCTGGAAACCACGGTACTGCAAAAAAAATGTCACATAACCAAGGGTGGCCTTACCGTTCACGGCTGAAGTTCTGTTGAAAGTTTGCCATGATCGTGAGGTTGAAGGCTGGCATGACCACATCCTCCTTGCCCAAGCACAGGGCTACTGACAGGTAGCTTGAAGTCGTGGGTTCCTGGGAATTGCCACAGGCACAATTTCTTATCGTTGGTGAATATGCGAGCTACCTGAAGCTTTCACAAACATTTACTCCCAACGCAAGTTCAAAAGTGGGCAACTTCAAACAGCGAGAACATGCTCATATTTACAAACATGAGTGCTGATCATCGATAAAGGTTAGTTGAAAGCAAAAGCTTATTTTTGTCTCCTTATGCATTTGGTTTTGCATCAAGTACTGCTTCTAGCATCAGCTATCCCAATGACTCCTTACATGCTTCAACTGCAAGGCTTGAAATGCTGGAACTGGAAACTGAACATTTTGCATGACATTTTGAGCAAGTACCCCTTCTTTAGCAAGTCAAAACTATCAGCAAAATGTGTGTGTATTGGGAAGGGAGTTGGGGGGGGGGGGCGAGTTGGGGGGGGGGGGGCACCTTTGAGGCAGAGCACCGAAATCGAAAACGGGAGCAGCATTGGTTTATGGCCAGAAAAAAAAATCGTGGTTGATCCTTTCGTCATAGAATCCGCCTAATACGTGTCCTTGAAGGCCGACTCCGGCGATTTTTTTTACCATGTCAAAGTAATGATGCTTTCATGTTTCACAGATGCTCGCGTCATGGGTCTGATAGCAGAAATACTCAGCAAAATTTAGAATAATTTTAAATAAGCAAACAAGTGCAACACCGAAACCAAAACCCAACCACAGTATTATCTTTGTCTGACGTAGGTGTTGGTGAAAACCATGCAAACCGTAAACCGTGCAAAGCATGCCAGTCTTGCCAGTGCGGAATTTGAAAGCTGCCTCCAAAAGCGATGAAGAGCAGATGCTCAGAAGAAAGGTGACCCCATTGCAACAGCCACACCATGTATGTTACCGACTATGCTATGTGCACAAGCTTTTGGAGGTGTCGAAAAGCGACAGCCAAGATTCGGACGCATGTAGAGGCCAAGTAAAATTGCCGAAGAGGAATGGCAATTGCTTGTTGTGCATTCCACTGTCAGATTGCGCCACCTGTCCAGGCCACTGAAATTTGTGGAGCTGTGATCGGAAAAATGGTATCGCTGAAAAATTTGTAGACTAACTCAAGCTTCTGAATATTGCTGTAGGGAAAGTGCACATGTCTGGCAATAGCGGAGCTTAAAATTGCGCTGGTAGGGAAGAGTTAAATTAATTTAGGCCAAGTACGCGCCCACCCCTTTCGCACGACGTGATAGGCGCGATCATGGTGCGCCCTATATAATTTATAAATAGTGTTTTCATGCGGTAGTGTGCTCACTAAGTATGCTCACGTAATGTTCATGCATAGACCGTTTTCTGTCGGTACGATATTAACACAGTGTCCATAAAGCGAGCCGGCACTGCTAGCTAAAACAATATATAATATCGAAACAAAGGGGTAATCGTATCTACCGAATGTTTCCTGAATGCTTGGGTAATTATAGAAGGAATCATGTGCAACCACAATGCCACCTGTCACCCATAGCTAGCAGGCCTACAACGAACCAAAATTTGTGCACCAAACCAATGAAACGTTGGCTAAGCAACACACGCAATCAGTGCTAACAGGCGACGATGTAGTGGTGCCTCAGTTCAGTCACTTTCGTTGCTTCGACGCAAGCGTTGGCGCATGCACACACACACACACTGTTGACAACAGTTGATGGAAGCAAGTTGAGAGAGTCCAGGTGATCTAAAAAATTCATTTGTAAAATATCTGCGTATCTCTTCAGCCTGTAATTGGGGACGAATGATGGAAACGTGCAATAAACATGCCCAACGAACTTCATTAAGATTTATTGACCTCGAAATATTTCCAGAGTTAACCTGTAAAAAATTAGATTAATGTACATTGATATAAAAGAACTTTCACACATCCATTGGTATTCAAGAGCAACAGCATCATTTAACATGGATGTAGTCACGCTGACGCTTAGTCATACATCTTCATCCCAACTACTAACGTGTGTCTTTAATGATTAAACAAACCCTAGTGGTCATATGTGCTTGTGGTTGCTGCAGTAGTTAATGGTGAAAGCAAAATTAGAGCAAGCGATGTGACAGAGAGAAGAGCATGACTGATCAGACACCGGACTTGGGCTAAGGTCGCCTACTCGGGGCACGTTGGAGTTACTGAACATCACTGCCACGGCCGCTGCCCAACCAGAGGCCGGCCGCGATCATTTGCAGGGTGAGCGCAAGTGGGTAGCGTGTGTAGCTACATCCAGGCTATCCAGGCGAAACAGGAACGTTCCAAAGTTTGCCGAGCTATGTTTGGTTTGGAGGGATGCTATCAGCGATGCTGACCATCGTCGTGTAAGGTCACCACCTTGGGGCGTCTTTAGGCCTTGATAAAATTGAACTTCTATTGTAAACGTGCCAAATGAGACAGACGCTTGAAAACGAAACATTTAAGGAAGCAATTGCAGATGCCACGACCATGATGCATTACTGCTCTTTACCAAGAATGCTGTGAAAGGCGTATTTTTAAGGTGTACAAAGTATGTGGCCGTGGTGCAGTGGACAGTGTGCCCGGCATGTTTTTTTTTGCAAACTGAGAGGTCATGGGTTCAACGCTTATTGACGAAAACTTTCTTTGTCTTCTGATTGTGCATATTTTCTCGAAGTCACTTCCGTTTCTGAAGTCTTAATCAACCCCGGCACAAAACACTTTCGTGTTAAAAAATGCATAGCACACGTACTTCCTCAACAGTTCACTGCCGTCATTTGCGGCATAGAACATCACAATGAAAACTCGCAAACAAAGAAAATAGATGGAAATGCAATGGCATAAAACTGAGAAGCATGGCATGGATGCACCCCAGATGAAGAGGCCATGCCACCATAACAACAGCGGGCAACTGACGCAGGTCTCAAAAGCCATCTTTTGCCAAGTGTTTGTGTCGCCGCAGATATCATGTTAGACTTGTAAATACAGATCTCGAAGGCCATGCTTTTTTTCTTGGGAACCTTGATATTACCATGACTGCGGTGTGATCACTACATGAGAGAAAAATAAAACAGTCACAGCTTCGCCGCAAGGGGAAGCAATGAATGCGATAGCAACAAATTGGAAAGTCGCGCTAAGAATGGCAAGCAGATCGAAACACAGCCCAGAGTTTCTCACGCGCAAATGACGCACGAAATGTACTCACAGGTACAGATGAACACGAATAAGCGTCTCAGATGTTACTTTACTGTGTCCGAAAAGCGCGCCCTTTTCGCAAACAGAGACTGTGCAGCGACCTTTGCGCGCCGAATAGCTACAACAGAACCAATCCAGTGAAAGCTCAAGACGTACGATTCTCTGCACTGCGAAACAAGCGCGTGCATGGCTGAGCGTCTAACCCCTTGTCTCTCCGCGGAGGCAAAGTACGCGTGAGAGACGAGAGCGTGCGCTCCTGGGTCGTGACTATCTGGCGAGTCGCGCTCATTACGCCATCTCACTGGTAATGCTGAAAACACGATATTTCCCCAAAGATGGCCATCGACAGTGGTAAATGGTGGATATAAATAGCTTGCTGCTTCTACGTTGAAGGAGGTGCTCCTTCGTGGCTCAGTGACTATTGCCTCGCACCCACAAGCAAGAGGTTGGACATTCGATTCCGAGCGCCGGGCTAATTTTCTGGATAATTTTTCTCTCTTGCATTTTCGTGTATAAAAATACGTATACATATTTATGAATGACGCCAACACCAACGCCGGCGGCAAAATCAAGCCGAGTGTCCATACAATTGCTATCGTAATAAAATTTGACAACAATTTGCATGTGTGGGTAGTTGGGAAGGCTGAGCAAGAGTGGAGTCGAATCAGGCATGAAAGTGTTGACGGGATGTACGGCGAGTTTGGAGATGTTGCGCAGGATGAGGGGGCAAAAAATATTTCCAAAATGGTGTAAAAAACTGCAAGTTAGCCATGCGATTGGGGGACGAGGGCATGTTTGCACCAAATTTCATGATATGTGAACCGAATTGATCTTTCGTAAAACATAGCACCAGATTCGCAAATCTTTATGACAACAAGCGCCAATTTTATACAGAATTCAAAAATCTAAGCTCGTACGTAAACAAGCGCACGCAATTCCCATACCTGGAGGAGTTCCTGAAGACACTCTTCGGCATTTTCGAGTTTGGTCATGAACTGCCGTAGAAAGTCTAGGCATGTGGTCACAACCTCCACTTGCTTGATGCTGAGAGGAAAAAAAGAGGATGAAAAGAGATTAAGCATTAATTGTTATACTCTACATATAAGTTTTAGTCACACGGACCTTTGACTGTATCTAAATAAATTCTTACTGACGCAAATGACTGAAGTGACATATTGGCTACACGAAAAAACGGCAGTAATAATGTTTGATACCATTAGTTCACTCAAACGTCGATGTAACATGAATATAACAAAATATTGGTTACAACGAAGTACTAAATGAAAAAGTCTCGCTATAGGTACAGTGTTAAGGATATACCTTTATAACGAATTTTCAGATATAACAAACTTTTTTTCCTGTAAGAAGCAACCTCGCTATAATAAGGTTTTAATGTGTTAACAAATGACTGCAACGATTATAGCACATCATTTACGATGATTGTAAGGGGCCAAAAATAGAAGAAGCAATGGCACACACTATTCTATTAGTGTGTTCTCTACAAGTGTTCACTCTAATGTGGACACGCTATTCCTTGTTATAATGGTCTTGACCACAGTGCGAGATGTATACTCGTTAAGGGAGGACGATTCTGAAAAATGATTGAAAAGAAAGGACGATTGAGAGAAATTATTGAACAGATAAAGTAACAGCACTGAATGCATAATCATCAGTGGATATCTATCAGCAGGAGGATGCAACTCGAGAAAAAAAAAAAAATGTCACAGAATCCAGCACATCCCAAGAAATCTTAAATTTCCAACTTTGCTAAGGCACTTTAATCAAGTAAGCCTGGAGCACTTTTTGTAACAAATATGTGACGTGACACGCAGCGAATGCCGTGCATTAGTTCCCATAAAAACTGTACACAACGTTTCCGGAGCTAAAGTTACGCCCTACTGCCGACAGATATCCGCTGCCTTTACCCAAACAATGAATGCGTGCTGTCGTTACTAGATCTGGGCAAACACAATTCACAAGAAGCCAAGAATATCATTCACGAAGGTCTTGACCTATCAATTATTTTCACGCCCAGAGAAATCAAAAACCTGACTGGACCCGAAACTTACATGCACGCATCCTGGAGGCACTGAGGGTCCTTTGCAAGGTACGGCTTCAGAAGGGCCCTGATTTGCTCCATGGTCATACACTGCTTGATGATTGTCTCGCCACAGATACCCGAGTCCATGAGGGCTTCGAAAAAACAAAAAATACAATTTTCGAGCATTTTCTTGAAATAACAATTCTACATTAATATCCCTCAATCAAGTTATACGACTTGTTACAAAGTCAAAACCATATATATATATATATATATATACACACACACACACACACACCTTTTCTATACCTACATCATGTCAGGTTGCAAAATACAGCAAACATATGCTATCAATGACTATTAGTATGAGACATTCTGGAATAATACCATCACATCTGCATCTATGTCATGATATGATTGTACACGTAGAAGAAGCACACCCCCAAAAAAGCCCTCGCACACAAGATCCATAGGCAAGCTTATCACATGCTTATAAACACTTTTTGAGCTCAACAGCCCACAGCAACACAGATTGCCAATCTTTGAAAGTACACTCAAACCTCATTACAACAACGTTGCATCTCGCATTTAAAATAGATTCGTTATAATCAAAAGTTCATTATAAATGCATATTTGCAACACCACACCTATCGCAAGGCTTTTCTTCATTTACATCGTTATAATAGTTATGACGTTATATTGAGGTTAGAGTGCAAATGAGCCACGGTATAGATGAACCCATGCTCATCCGTCACCGATAGCCCTCCAAGAGCCAGGTTCGATCCTCCCAACCTTTGCAGTAACAAAAAAAGGAGTACCAAACACATGCAGCATAGTACATTGAGACATTTGAGTGTGTTTACTGATCCAGACTTATCAGTCTTGATCTTATCTGTCCCGTCGCATCTATGAAAAGTGCAATACTGAGAAAACTGAGTTTCGAAGTGCATCGCCCTTGTATAAGCGAATGGGGTCGCAGATGTAGCATGTCAATAAATGCGCCTTGCACAACAAGACGCCGACTTTTTTTTTCTGTTAGGGTCATTCTGCACAATAACCCCAAGGAGGCTGGCAAAATAAAGTGAGCCAAATTAAAGTCCGGACGAATCTTAAAGGGGCCCTGCAACACTTCTTGAGCATGGTCAGAAAATGCTGCCAATCGGTAGTAGAGGCTCCCAAGAACACATGAGCCAAATGTCATAGTGCAGCACGCTGTCTAGAATTCACATTAAATTATCAAAGTCAGCTGAAAATGGCTTTTTCTTCCCTCGACAAATGACGGAAGACGTTCAAAAATAACTCGGAGAATGCCCATCTATCTGCCAGTGGCCGGTTCAAACATGGCACTCTCGGTCGTTACAGAAATCGCCGCGGGAGGCAGTCACTTGTTCACACGAGCGATCGCACTGAAAAAGCCGGGTATTAAAAGAAAAAGAAAACAAGAAAAAAGTGCTTAAGGTCACGAGGCGTGCGTGACGTTTTTTGTTTGCCCCTCCCATCCCTCCCTGCATAGCTTCCAGCGCTTTCGTCGGGACGAGACAAGAGAGAATGCGATTGCAATGTGTGACAAATCTTTGCAAGTCCGCTTGTACTGGACGAATTCTTTCAATGTTTGCTGCGTTGAATTGGTGAGGTAATGAGCTCTTCCAGTGAATCAATTCCATGGTTACTCACTCAAAAAAGTGTTTGAAGGACCCTTTAAAGCTTCACACCAAAGTCCAGGAAGTGCACTGGATTTTTCCGAGTCATTGGTTATGATGCATTTATTTCTAGGGGAACCGGTGTACTTATGTGTTCATTAACGCACACATACCAGTTCCCCTAGAAATATATGCATCATAACCAAGGACACAGAAAAATCCAGTGCACTTCCTGGACTTTGGTGTGAAGCTTTAAAATTCGCGCCAACTACCCCACTGTCTACCCCTTCACCAAACAAGCCCAAATCCTGCCCCTGGTCCTCACGGCTTACTGTGAAAGAAGCGCAGGCAGGCCAGGTACATTTCTGGGGCGAAGTAGAGGCCCTCGACTTCCCGGTCCTGGAGGGAGACCAGAAGGACCGCGACTGCCTTTAGAAAAGCCGTCACAGGCGCATTGTGGGCTACCAGGAGGTTCTGCGTGCTCATCTCCTGCGATGACCAGAGAAAAAAAATCTGGTGAAAGAAAATAGGTGCGAAACGAGGCACCACACGCAGAAAGTGCGATGCACCTTTTACAACCTTCGCACTCCAAGAAATATACTACTTACAATTGCACTCGAGCATCACTATAACGCAGTTGAGTATTGCACAAAAAAGTCTGTGCAAATCGAAAATTCGTTATACAGCTATATTAACACTATATTCCAGGACTGTTTCATTTACTTCACTCCGACCGATATTTTGTTATATTTGGGTTTACTTATCAAGGTACGAGTGCACTCCTGTCACATGACTACAGTACGACATAGGCCAACATGTGAATAGACAAAGCGCGATACAATAAATTGGAACGATACATTATTTTCTTGAAATTAGGAGACTCAAAAGCGGATAAATATGCAACAATAATGCAAGTTATTCCCGGCTGCATTCTCCACAATGTTCCTGTGAATGTGCAAAGATGACTTAGTACATCGGCAGTAACGAGTTCCCGAATGAGAGCGCTTAGCCATCCCGGGTTGCAGGTGCTATTGAAACCAGTACATGCGGGAATGCGCGGAGCATGTGAAAAACGGCCTCAAGCCCCATGTGAGCTATTCGCGGTGGCTGCTGTCAGAAACGAACAAAAAAGGGCACTGCAGTCCCCACTGAATGTCCGTGCGCCATGCCTGCCTCACTACTCGTAAAAAATAGCAGCCGAGTGCATATTACAGGGTGTCTGCGAGTACTATAAGGAGGGTATACCAAGCAGCAGTGTCGGAATGACATGTTTATAGAGCCCACACAATATACACTTAAACCCGATTATAACGAAGTTGCCAATTGCACAAAAATAGGTTCATTATAAGCGAAAATTCATTATAAAGGTATGTTCATAGCACTATATTGCAAGACTATTCTTGAGTTACTTCATTATAACGAATATCTCGTTATATCCGGGTTTTTTATATAGAGGTTTGAGTGTACACAGCAGCGGGTTGACGGGCTGTTTGGGTCACTGTGAAGTAATGCGAATTTCTGTTGAACTTGATTACCATGGCCACAAAGCTGTACAAAAACACTAGTTGTACCACTAACCTTGGTGAGCAGCGTGACCAGCTTGATGCTGGTGTGCACCACGTCAAGCAAATTGGCATTTGTCTCGATAGCATCGACAAGCAGAGACAGCAGGGCTTCAATCGTGCTCGGCGTCCGGCCAACGTATCCCTCCAGAAACTCTGGCACCGACAAGACGATCGCCAGGAGGTTGATGGTCTGTACACAATGAAACGAAATAAGGGGCTTCAATAGAAAAATTAGATCGGTTGAGACATGACATGAGTAGACACTTGAACACGTGCAACAAAGTAGGGTAGCAAATCTGGGAAGTTAAACAGCATGGAAGACAAAGACTCGAAAGAAAAAAAAAACCCAGACACGATAGACCAGTGACAAGTTCAACAGCATAAAAATTAGAGGACCCTGAAGCTTCGCCTTTAGGAATTGAATCCAATAGCAACATCCTGCTCCTATTGCGCACTTCAAACACTTACTCCATGAAACCTGTTCAAATTTGCTATGCACCCACAACGTGGCCTTAAGGAAATAGGCACAGTAGTCTTGTGTGCCTTTCATAGTGGGGTACGGGCTTTCAACCACGGAGCCATTATGATAATCACATATTCTGACACCTGTTGGAAATTTACCACGCATTATTACTGCAATATTTCATGCTGCATTGTGAAGTATATATACACGAAGCGTGTGTGAAGCATGAAAGCTACTTTCACTGAATTTACAAGCAGATGAACTTTTTCTCACTGTTTTCACAAGCAGAAGTGTGGTTGTGTGGTAGAACATCCGCTTGCCATGCAAACGACTCGGTTTCGATCCCCACTTGGACCCAAACAACGCTGGTTCGGTCCCCACTCTGCTCCAGAGCTTAGGGAACAAGGGGACATGAATGTCCCTATGTTCTCTAAGAAGTGGTGCTGTACCAGAAGTAAAAATGTCTGCTCTCTAAAGCTCGGTACTTATGCTTTTGCCAAGGTAAACAACCAGGAAAAGACATTCGTGGTTGAGCTTTAAACGGACACTAAAAAGTAACGACTTGGTTTAGATTGACAAACTGCACTCCTAGAACTGGAATGTCTAAGTTTTACTGTCATAAGTTCATTGTTAGCAGAAAAAATCAACGTTGAAGCTAGGCTTCTAAGTTTTGCACCGAAATCTCCACGCATGACGTCAGAAATTTGAAAAGGCATCTTTGTTACTTGCATGGCATGGGCTCAATGAAATTTTTTGAAACTTTGCTTGCCAAACCAACAGATGATGATTTACATACATTTTATAGATTAGAACCTACATAGGACTAGGTAGAAGACTTCAAAATGTGCGACATCACAGGTTTTGGTGCAGCAATCTCAGAGTGGCATCTGCATTGTCATTTTCTTTTCCAGTGTTTACTCGCTTACCAAACATCATGTCACCGTAAGAGTAGCTTTTTCGGTATTGTGAAAGTGTACTTTATTAATACGCAAAAAATCATTTTGCCCTTAGGTGTCCCTTTAATGTAAACCACCAGTATGATCAACGTGAATTGCCAGAGTAAAGCTGGTTTCATAACAAAAAATTCACGCACACAGAGAAGCAAGACTGCTGCAATTCTTTTGTGTGGTTCACCTTAATGCCAAACCAAGAAGGTAAAAAGAAATGAAAAAAAGAGAAGCATCAAATAAGTATAGCTTTGTTTTTCTCTCTCTGTACGTGTGAACAACATTTTACGGTACAAACAGATTGATCTCAAAATAAGCTTTCTTGTTGTAAATGAAAAATCTTAAGACCCGACAGCAAATTTCGGCGAGAACAATAAACACACAAGGATTTTAACATTGGCCAGCACAAGTGAAAAAAAAAAAAAGAAAAGTGTAACGAATGTGGCCTCACGGTCCGCAAGTCCTCAGATTCTCTCTGTGCTTGTTTCTCGGCCACCTTCGATGCACAGGAGACCATCATCTTGTGGTACCTGGCAAAAAAATAAATAAGAATGGTTTCAGTGACGTGAATCACCTCTGAAAGAAGCCTGTTGATTTGATGATTTTAATATTGTATCAGTCGAAACTTATTTGACTTTCCGTTTAGTGCTATGCTTTTCTGAACAATTGAGATCATGACACTTTTTGTTGTCGTGGAAGACAAAGTATAAAATAATTTTGAACAGTAGCAGGATTTCAATCATGGGGCGCGGGTCTTAAGCTATAAAACATGTCTTGAAATGTGCCGTATTTGGCCTGTGGAACACACGAACGTACGATTTTTTAACAATACAGTACACTCTCGTTAAACAGAACCTGAAGGAACTAGGAAAATCTGTTACATAAAACAGGGTTCTTTTTGTTTATTACCAGATTAGCAGGCACACAGAATCCAAGCACAAGACCAACCATGTTACATGCAGCTATATTCCATTTACTGGGAAAAGTAAGTTGGGGTGCAATACAGGTAATACACCTAACTAGGAAATGTGGCTTTGTACCAGAATGAGTTTTACTGTAAATAGAAGGTTTTGATGGCATAGCGGCCCCACATTGTAACTAAACCACCCTTTCGTATCTACAAAAGGAAAATAATTCTATTCATTAGTTTCCAACACATTGAAACCTGTTAAAGTTTCAGCATACACAAAAATATGTTTGCTATATCCGAAAATTTCGTTGTATCAATATATTCCAACACTATAGCTATCAGAAGACTATTCTGCATTCACTTTATTATAACAGATATTTCGTTATAGTATCCGATTCGCTATATTGAGGTTTGAGGGTGCAGCGTCTCTACAACTTCAGGTTTATGGCAGAGCACGTTCAAATACTCCGACTCGTGCATACGTTCGACGCGCTCAAGTATTCGCAAACACCTCAGTAGAACCTCGTTAACCACTCTTAGCCACCCTGTCGCGAAAACTTCCTGCAACTGGACTCACTTGAGTATGCAGGCCCTGCGCTCCGGGTGGTTAAGAAGGTCTTCGATGATGTCTGTGGCGATCCTCCTGGCTGCGATGTTGCTCGCCACAACCGTGCACAGGAGAATCTGAAGCGTCTGCTTCATTGATTGACTGAACATCTGGGAGAAGGAGGCAACATTAATCACATTTCATTAAAAAAAATAAAGGTGGTCATCTTGCACTAGAGGCGCAAGGCTCAGTCACAGCGGAGCTGGTGGTATCCTAGCTAGTACCGGCTTGGTCCACTCTCAATTAAGCCTAATTAAATATTTTAGTAACAAGAAACTAATATATATGATTGTAAATATTCATTATTGTGCAAATTAATTTGCTTTAATTACACTGTCAGTCATAATTAGTATCTCCCTTGGCTTGATATCGCTGATCTGATTGGAGATTCGACCTATTACTAGAGATATTTAGCTCGGCTTAATTATATTTGACTCAACTCCTGGCTTAAGACACAAAAGGCAAGTAATCTAACTCTGAGTATAAGATCAATGTTTGAGAAAGTCTAAAATGTCATTATCAACAGCAGTGCTCTACTTATTGAGGATTTAAGGTAAATGTACAATGCCATATGCACCACTAGTGGGACATTTTGATATGATCCCAATGTCATCAGAGGATTCGACTATAATTAAAATCGAACCAGTTGCAATACAAAAACAAAACTTCCGCACATTACAACACATCACAAAATCCATGTTGCAGAATTAATTGGTAATAACAAGACGAATGGTGCAATTGGTTCAAAACTTTCTGTATTTACCTGGTTAGGATAGACAGGTGACACCATCTATCAGGGCCTACATGAACCAGGCAAGCTTTCATTGCAGAAACATTGTGCATTCTATTTCTGGTGTGAATGCATTATAGCGACGTAATTGGAAAATAAGTTGCTTTCATTTATTAATAAATTTTTCTTCAAGAACGCTGGGCAAATACGAACATGTCTACAACTCTCAAGATGTTCACATCATCTAGTGACCCTGCATCTCTACAACCCTTTGTGTATTCCGGTAGGACACAGTAAAAGCTGGCAACGCGAGCAAGGCACATGCCGAATCATTGAGGCCCATTTTCAGGCGGGTGACTTTAACTGAGCTAATGACGTGTGGACCACTAAAACACAATTTTATTTGAAAATGAGCATTTATTTGTCATGAAAGCAGCAGTACGAGGCTTCTGGATCGCCATATTGACCATTAATGACTACTTAATATTTGCCTTCAATGTCCCTTCAAAAGCCCGTCTAAGCTTACCCTGGTTTGATACGGCAACAGCGAATAGGCAATGATGATAGTCTTCTTGCGACACCACACAAGATGCCAATGAAAACCTAAATACTTAGCTCTGCAACGAAACTTGGTATAGGTAGAGCTCGCAAGTAGTACAGACTTTCGTAAACTACTCGCTGTGGTGGTCCAGTAATTATGGCATTTGAATGCTGACCTGAAGCCAGCGAGATTGAACCCAGACTGTGGCGGCTTCATTTCGATGGAAGCACCAATGCTAGAGACCCGTGCGCTTAGATTTAGGCGCACACTCAGAAACCTCAGGTGTTCAAGATTGCTGAAGCTCTCCACTACGCCATCTTCTAAAACCATAGCGTCACTTTAGGTTGTAATACCACGAACAGTTATTACTACTTGTATAAACTACAATTAGACAAACGAGTTTCCCCCGATTGGTTGTCATTCAGCGGCCTGCCCCCTGTGATGGTGATAATTGTGACCGCAATGGCCAATCAAACATGGCAATTGCACAAGCAGAGTTATCCCCATAGATTTACATTCCTCCCACTTTTACTTCCCTTCCCTAGATTTCTAGTAATTTCATTTGCGTGCTGTGCTTTGAGTATACTGTCAACTCAGTAATCAGAAACCTCTGAAATGAATGTATGCACTCAAATCTCTATATACGGGAATATTGATTATAACGAAGGAAATTAAGACTAGTCTTGCAGTAGACAGTGTTAGCAATACAGCTTTATATATGAATGTCCAGATATAATGTACTTATTTTTTATGTTTATTTCACCACTGAGTCACACATTTACATTTTTTTTAAGTCGCAATGTGCAAGATGCAACACGTAGCAAGATACAACTTCGTTATAATGAGGTTCTAGTGTATATTTCTCAGGGCAGAACAATAAAGAGAAATTATTGACCCCGTAAAGTAACAAACAAACTTCTCCACCTATCTATGAATTGCTGTTAAAGTGGAACTCCTGTCTCCAACATGGTTTGTTTTATTCTTTTGTTCTGTACCTTTGTCTATATCTTGGTGCGCAGAACTCTTCATTAGGAGCAAATTGTCCTGGTCCCTCCAAGTTTAGTTTTACGAGTTTTAGTGTAACGAAACTGAGTCGTGGATAATGGTCAGCAATGTTCGAAGCCCTATCTGCTGCATATGGCATCTATTTATGCAAAAGCATAGATTTGTCGTGAGCTCAAGTGAAAGGGAGGTGGAGGAATCACCTTTCCATCGTCTCATAAGAGACAATTCCTGCAAGAGCACACACATTTCTCTTGAAGCGCAGATCCTTAAAGAAACAAAAATAATAAAGGGCTCAGAGTCATCCATTCGAAATTTTGAGCCATTTTCACAATGCGAAACCATTTTACAGCTCACAGAAACTGTTGCTGCTACGGTGAGTATTTATTTACATTAAAATTTATTACTTTATTTACTCGCATAATGATCCCACTTGCATAATGATCGCACCCCTAAATTTTGTAGTCTAAATTTGACTTTTTTTCCCCACGTAACGATCACACCCTGAACTTGCCGCATCAACATGTCATGTGCGGAGTCTAGCTGAACGCGCCTATCATTGTTTCTGCGATCTGAAAGTGGGCATCACTATGCTAATGCCGTAAATTTACTAATTTAAATGAAAGCATTCCTTATTTAGATGGAAGAAACTGTTTTGATGCGCGTGACGTACTCACAACCTCCATAACTGACGCAAAGAAGCAAAAAAATGCGGTGGCTTCGCTCCACCGAGTGCTTTGCTCCGTCAGCCGCCATGTTTGTTTTGACATCCCGCACTGCTACAGCGGCGGCCGCCTGTTGGTCGACCCGTGTTAATCCCGCAGCAGTGTTTTTTTTTTTTCCCGAGACCACGTTTTTTTTTGGGAGTATGCTTTGCGATCGTCTGTTGAAGTGCCGTGTCACCACAGGGCGCTATGCGAGCTTCACTGCCGCGTTCAAGCTGAAGGCGCTTGACTACGCGCTAGAGCACGGCAACTTCGCTGCCGGCAGACATTTTGGCGTGGACCAAATCCGGCTCAGATATTGGAGAAAACAGCACGACATGCTCATGGCTATAACAGCACACAATGGGCTTTCCGCGGACCCAAATCTGGCAAGTTCCCCGATGTTGAAAAGGCAGTCCTCGAATACGTGAAGGACATGTGCAAGGACGGTTATGCAGTGTCATTAGACATGATACGGACGCAGGCGTGCACAGTTTCCCGAAGGCTGGGAATAGCCACAAAGGACTTCCGCGTCAGTTCCGGCTGGACGACACGCTTCATGCGGCGGAATGGACTGTCGCTGGCATTTCCAACGCGCTCGACGGAACAGAAGATGACCCTCTGTGGGACAGTGAAGACACTGCCGGTTCCGACAGGGAATCGTGCTGCGACGACACTGACGCCAGTGACGCTTCGGCATCTGAATGAACATTAGGGGGTCAGAGAGGTAAAAAATAAAATGGCAGTGTGCTATGCATGTAGCTCCTGCGTAATGCGTGCATTTTATTACAAAGGTAAGCCTTAATTTACTTCTATTTTCGGTTATGTTTATGATAGCTACCGTAATAATTCTGATTAGCGACTTTTTTGCATTTCCGGTGCTCAGAATATTTTTTCACGGAAAATTTACCCCGCGTAATGATCGCATCCCGAAGCTGGAGTCAATCTTTTGAAAAAAGAAGTGCGATCATTATGCGAGTATATACGGCATAACAAAGTTGCATATAATGAAAATAATGTAACGGGAAGTATTTAATAAGTGAGCGCCGGGTGGGCTAACAATGCACACAGTATACAAGGACGCAGGACAAGAGGGCAGTTCAGACACAGCCCCACAACAACATCGTCGTCTTCATTCCGTCTGCACCCGTGCCTGAGGTACCTTTCTATACCAGTGACAATAAGTTTGTTATTTCCAAAAATTCTTTGTAAACATACCTGCCCAGTTCACTCATTCTGAATCCGGGAGATTTTTACAATGGGGAGGGGAGTGTCATATGTTTGTTTTCCTCGCGTCTTTTTTTCATCGAAAAAAAAAAAAACCAACATAAGAAATGCGGAACGGTGGCGAGCGGTGGGGGTCCAGAACAACCCTGCAAGCAATGCAAACACACAGGTGGAGTGTCAAAATGAGAGCGGAATCTCCGTGATGCGTACCAACTTCAAGCGGGATCGAAAATATTCTTATTGTCTGAAGCTTAGTATAATAAAAAAAAAACTTGCAAAAGGAGTTTCCAAACCGCAATATACGCACAAAACATTTCTTTTCACCAAAACAAATCGCATGCATTTTTATGGGCCACACGCAAATGGACCAATAAGGGACAGCGCAGCTGGCCTACTGGGAAGTGCCCGCTCCACCGTAGTCGTAAACAAAGATAGGCCCGAACACTGAAACGTTTCTTGCCTTCTTTTTATGCCTTTATCATCTTTGTTAGCCACGTACCTTCTGAGCTCGTAGTCCCTATCTATGATCACATCGCGACGACTGTGGTTTCGTTCGCAGCGCTTGTGGCAAATGGTAGTTCCGTTTTCATCCCACATGCGCTGGCTGCACAAGTGCCTTCAAGACCAAGTCTCTTGATATTTGCTAGGCTTGTGCGAATATTTGAACAAATAATGCAGTATTCGAACTACTCGAAATGAATGAATGGGTGCATATTAAACGGCATGCAACGTTCTCTAAATGTGGTTTCACGGCAGTGAAGCCGGGCAAGCACCTATTTAAACATTAGTCCACATGTAAAAGTGGTGCTAAGCAGTCAAAACACATAATCAGAAGAAATCTGCACTGCAGGGAAGCCCCACTTCAAGGTTTTAATGAAGAATTACTGTCACATTTATTCTGTCTCTTTGTTTATTATATTTTCAGTTTAAAAGCTAGTTACACCGACTTATATGCTTCAAGCATAGAAAATTTTAAAACTTGGCAAATTTTACTGGCTATCACTTGGACAGTATAGAAAGTCAAATCCTTCTACAATTCAAAATTGTTTACACTTCCTTTGATTAAACAAAAATGGCCTTTGCGCAGGCCTTGTTTCAACTGTAAAAAATATTGTGCACGTTAGTTTGGTCATGACAAATATGCCCTTTTTCCTTCGTAATACGTGATATACATATTATTCGAATTCGATTCGAAATTATTCCATCAAAATCACTATTAGCTTCGAATTTGCTTTGAACAAAATTTACTATTCGCACAAGCCTACTATCTGCTATTGCTTCTGTTGCGGTTTTGTCTGCAGCGTGCCGACAGGAGTGCCGCATTGACTGGGTGAGCGCTTGACGCGCGTACGCCTTTGGAGTTCTGTCAAGTTACGTCGTAGCCATACATGATCGTGTCAAGAGTTACCGCTGTATTGTTGGGCCGCGCACGTCCTTCGGGAGCTTTCAGCACGTTGCTCTCGGCCATTTCTCAACAGTCTGGTACTGAACATCCAAATTTTGGCCCATTAGCCACGGTGGCATTCGGCTGCAGAATTATGCGAATTTGAATTGCCAAGATTCTGGTGTACGTTTACATCAATGCTTCCTGAAGCGACAGTGCCGATAGTTTCGCAAAAAGCCCGGATCAGACTAAGTTCACCTTTTGCTAATGTGGCCAGATCATGGTCAGAAATTTCGATTTACGGGAGATTTTCCGGCCAGCCATACAAACTTAAGATATGGTTGAAATCCAGGAGCCCCTTGAAAAATCCGAGAGACCTTACAGGTAAGTTATAAAGGTCTATTTTAAACACTAGGATTATTGCAAGAGTATTCTTCATTTATTTTGTTATAACCAATATTTATTATATGTGGGTTCATTATATCGAGGTTTGACTTATTAGCAATGATCAATCATTGCAATGGGCCCCCTGAAAATGGACGAAGTATCTGAAGAAAGTGAAAATCGAATACGGGACGCTGTGCAGAGGACGATACATACCGCTTTAGGGTGTACAAATAAGGGGAAAAAAAGTGCTCACGAATTTTGAGGGCGAATGGGTGATTCTGCCAAGGGTGAACACTGCAGGTATCAACCATATTTCCGAAAATATTACCATATTTTAAAGGCAAGGCAGCAGGTACATTTGGTTTTTTCGCGCACTTTTTCCTAAATAAAACAGACACCATGCGCTATGCAGGAGTGATTGCGAATGGTGCATTAGAAACCCGTAAATGTACACATTTCTTCGCGCTCAAAAGAAGCAACAGTGCAATTACCTTGTTGCTGATGAACTCATCGAGTGAGAGGTTCGCGAAAATGGCCAGTGTGTGCATGACCACGCAGCTGTTGTCAAATGTGGTCATTGGCACCAGCGCCCGACACAACTTTGGTAGCTGTGGCTGTGAAGAAAGAAAAAAAAGAAAGAAGAAAGCATGTAAGCGTGGGTGGCAATTGGTAAACTAATAAGGTCTGTTCGCACGTGTCATCACCTGTATTTGCACTAGCAAATAATGATAAAGGCCGTATACGACGCAACTGTAAGATACGCTGGAAGGTTTGGCCAGCATCAAGCACAGTCTAACATGTACCTACCAAACAATGTGCTAGAGTCCTTTGAAGTGGTTCATTACTAGGGTCACTTAGCTGTAAAAGTCTCAGATCATCGTAACTTTGTCATATAAAATACAACCTCATAAATGCATTTCCATTTCATACGGCTGTCTAGCTGCAACATCCGAGATATTGTTATGTTGCAAAACCGAGATGTTTTGGTGCATTCGGTTAATGAATTTTCCCGTATAGTAGGTTTCTTCCAGAATTGTTATTAAGATCGGAAATCCGTAAACTAGGTTTTACTGTAGTTGAAGCAAATGGCAGTTAGTACTAGAGGATAATCTTGAGGCAAATTCAAACAGTCGTCGAATTTGAGTACCAGTAGGGAGCAAGTTACGAGCAAGTAAAATATGCTACAACTTAGTATACGCCATTCTTGGCCAATATAGGTCCGTACAACTCATCGTAAGCCTTAGGGCCGAACCACATGCAACATTTTCACCATCATTTCGTGACATTCAGTCTCGCGACGTTGTTTCATAAAACAACGCCCGAGAGGGCCGCCAACCACATGAGAAGCACCAAGGCACACGGCCATGCCAGTGCACACAATGCGATTCCAGAGAATGAACCCGACATTTCACAAAGCCATGTGCACTTTCCTTCAATGCATCAACAAGAAATAATCCAGACTCTAACTTCGATGCCTCATTTGCCGTTTTGTAGTGTAAAAAACAAGTCAAAGTGCTGCCGAAATGTCTATTTATGCTTATTTTAGTTGCAGTGCCAGCCACTGAGATTAAGAAGCACAATTTCCTGAAGGGACACCAAAGGCAAATGACAATTTACATCGTAGCGAAAGCTCAATGCATGACATCTGAAATTGCAATATTATTAACAGCAGTCACTTAATTAGCAAGAAATTAAGCTACATGTATTGCACGATGTGTGCCAGGAGTGGGACATTTGCAAAATGATTATGATGAAGTGAAAGCATCCGACTATACTTAATCTCTTAATAACTAGTAATCAAATTGGCTGCAATAAAGTAAGAACATTCTGTGTATAAAGAGACACAATAAGATGCTGCTTGTCCATTTGTTTGATTTATAGAAAAAATAACTGCCTGGAATTACTATGGGAAATGGTGCGAGTGGTTCAAAAGTTATGTTTTCGGCTAGTTAGGTAGTGTCATCTAGCGAAGCCCTGTTGAGCCAAACAAGCAGAATTATGGCCTCCAAAATGGCATAAAATTGTTAAATGGACATTGTTGCTGTTGTGGCTCCTACTACTTTCGCTCTGCTGCTACTGGTGTCGGCAGCTGCGTAGTAAAGGCAGAAAACGTTGGGTAACAGCGACGTCTGAAAGTCCGCTTTCAAGCGGGAGATTGATGTGCGCCAACACGATGCGGACCATATAAACGCAATTTTATATCAAAATAAGCACTTTCTTGGCACGAAAGTTCTGCTATGAGGTTTCTAAATGGCTATTTTAGCAATCAACGTCGACTTAATACTTGCCTTTAGTGTCCCTTTATTATAAGGCCTCTAAGCTTGGAGTTGTCGCACATTTTTGAGGCGACGTATTTGGCCTATACACTTATTCCCGATAAGCCATCCGATGAACTTCAGTAAGTATCCCCGAAACAGTTTAAAGATACCACTAGCGCTTTGCTGTCGAAACTTCTGGGGGACAAGTGGAGTCAAATACACCCATCAGTTGAGAACTTGCGGACCACACAGTGCACTGCGATGACCTGAGGCAGGCAGCAGCCAGTTTGGCAGCAGCGATGCCACAATTACGCTACATGGAAGTCGCTGCCAGCCGCGTACTGATTGATTTTGCGTCCATCGAATTGCTTCCAGTGCAGTTGCTGCTGATGTTTGGGACGTCCGGGGTGGGAACTTTGGCCACCACCCTACTGCGTCCACACCAAACAATGCCAGGCAACAAAGCGCTCACAAAAACGCTGCATGTGGCTCGTCCCTAACAACAAAAAAATTAATAATTAAAAAGCTTGTGCAAGCAATACACACACTCAAATGAAAAGCATTGCTTCGTGGCCCAGCAGGTTTCCATGAATAAGCGACTTAAAGTGCGCCCCCGGTAAACCTGAAGCCAAACTTTCAGGTGGATCACGTGTGGCGACCTACGTCTATTCATTCATTTTCAGTATGTAAATTCAAAATCGCTCATGTTTCAACTTCGTGTCAAAGCAAATTCAAACACTGCAGCATTCTTTTAAAAATTGGAACCTTTCGAACATTTGGCTCACTCTTACAGATTTTTCCTTCATGGTAACGTACACTCACTATGGAAGTAGATACCTTTTAATGAAGAATGAGATGTTGTAATAAGAAAACGAAATGTGCCCACCATAATCTTCATGTACTGCTGCGCACTCGTGCTCCACGACAGATGGTTGAGCAGCTCCAAGCACGGCACAAACAGCTCGTCAGTCCCCATATCCCTGAAACATTTCGGAACGAAAAGGATTGGGCAATGATGCCAACTCTTCAGCAGGCATTTTCATCGTACTTCTGCCTTTAAAGGGACACCGCCGAGCAACAATATATCGGGTTAGACTGATAAATTTCACTCAGAAAATTCTAGTAGGTCAATTTTACCATTTCAATATAGGCTCATTAATAGAAGAGAAAAGCAAGTTCAATGTTTCATTCTTGAACTTGGTACGAGAAATCTCCGCATGCGACTTTAAGGATTTCAAGATGTTATTCATATTTTCACCACACTGGCTCAGCTAACTTTTCTGAAACAATGCATGCTAATCAGTCTCCCCAAAGAAGAATATACTTCATATTTACCAATTAGGAACTACCAATCCAAATGTAACTGCAAAAAAAAATGGACGAAAACAATAAAAGAGGGAAACTTTCTTGTTTCCGTCCCTTTTTTTGCGCAGTTACTTTTTCGTTTTCGTCTGTTTTTTGTGCAGTTACAATATGGATCAATACCAATTCGCCCAACTTGCCATTCTTTTGAGGAACTACCATATTTACACGGTTACAAGTCTACTTGAATGTAGGTAGACCCCTCTAAAATCGCACAACAAGAAAAGAATGAGAGCACGGGCAGATGTGATAAAAGAAAGCTATGATGTCACCGAAGTTAACAAAATCGAATTTTGGTGTGCTAAGGTGGCTTCATGGTAGAGCTTGAAAGCTGTGCAAAAAAGCACAATAAAAATGGCAAGGTTGAGCGGCATAAAACAAAACAGAGTCACGCTGGTCAAGAGTGTGATTTCATCGCTGCACCCTGGTTCCAAACGCAGGCCAGCACTGCGGTCAGCAAAACATTGCGCAGAGCTAAAGCAATACGTGATGCTGTGTTAATGCAAAGCAATCGACAAAGCTGTAGACCAATACATTCGCAGAATTATGTTTACAAGCACAACAAACTTGACAGTAAGGCTTGATAGAATATAGTGCAAGGCTTCAATGATAAATTTAATACAGCGATTGGCATTAACCAGCCGATGCATGTCTCAAGTTTTTTTACTGTGCTAGTAAATTCGTCTCGGGTCACAGAAACCATGCTTGTCGTAAGGACTCAACTACACCCTGGATGTTACATTTCACGAAGGTCATTAGTCCGTGTTCACATGCAATAAGAGTTCCCCTTGAAACGATGTAACAGTAAATTGGAACAACAGAAAAAAGATAAAGTAAGTTGATAATGAACTTACATGCGTTTGAATAGAAAATCGCCGAGATAGCCAAGTTTGGATTCTGTCAGCGTCACCTGATGTCTGTAGCAGAGGTCTCGCAGAAGCTGGATGACCTACAATATTTTTTTAGTCTTTCAGAGATATATCTTTGAATTGAAACAAAACCGAAACACTGCAATAAACAAAGCCACTAAGTGCATTCAAAGTCTGCAAGCATGAAGACTAGGCAAATCCCTGTACTAACCATCATTCTCACATTCGCTGAACGAGCGCAGCACCACTGTCCCTTCTAGGTAATTTAGGCAACGCTATGCTTTGCAGCACACAGTTTCTTAATAATACACTAAATGTAACTCTGGCCCTGGTGCCTACGAGAGCTACAGCGCACGGCATTTCCTCCAGCGTGGGAATGATGGGTAGTACACGAATTTGTCCAAGCGTAATGCTTTCAGCTCCATTAGGCGTTTAGCCAAGAACCGTTAAGTCGCGAGACAAAGGTCAGCAGAAGTTCAGCAGTTCATTTACCTTCATTAACCTTCTTAATCTCGCCAAATAAAATCAGCTAGCGGAGTCCACAACAGTATCTTGTTTTATCCAATAGCAACACCGAAGCACAACAGTAAACAAGGTCACAAGTGTGGCTGAAGCCGCAAGCATGAAGATTAGGAGGATCCGTGAGCTACTGATTGCTCTCATGATGGCCGAACAATCTCAGTATCAGAATTACCTCTAGTAAATGTTGTAAAAAACTAGGCCCGGGGCAAACAGTCGACTAACCTGTAGTTGCATCGGAACATTGTCTTCGATGGCGCGGTTCTGGAAGAACTCCGCAAGCGCGGAGTGGAGCTCGAACTCTTCGTGCAGCCACTCCAGCAGCTGTGGATCTTTGGCCAGATGCTGGAACAAGGTCAAAACTTTGCTGCAGAGCTGTAGGTTCGGCTGGACATCGAAGAGGATGGATACGCAGCACGTGACACATTCATGGGCCAGCCGGCTGCGTCCGGCAAAGAAGGTCAAGTCACGCGAGCCCAGCATGCCATTGAGGACCTGGAGAAAATTACGAACGGAAGTTTGAGATAGCTCGCAATGGTTCATCATAAAAAAAAAAAAAGCAAGGTATGCATAACGAACCCAAGAAAGCAGGCCAACACATGTGAATGCTTGCTTGTGTGTGTGTGTAAGACAAAGTGCATGCGTACACTGTCGGCCTTTATGAAAGGGAACATGGGAGCGCGTGACCTGCACTTTGCGGTGGCTGCCTACAGCCCCCTCAACCGATTGCTGAAAAAAGCATGTCAGCGTTTGGTGCCACCTATTCGCAAGCAAAATAACGAGTCTTAGCCGTTGAACAAGCACTGCTAGATAATGATTCGACTCAGATCCAATAACGGACGGTGCCACCAAAAGCGGGCACACTTTCTTTAGCTGTCAATCGACTGTGCTGTAGGCAGCTGCCACAGAGAGCAGCAGGCCACGTGCTCGCATGTTCCCTTTCATAAGGGACAACAGTGTACAGCAACAACTTTTATGAAAAGTAACATGGAGCGTGTGGCCTGCCCGCTTTGGTGAGTGCGTGCAATGTGTTCAAGCGGCAGTAACAGTAATCATAGCCTCTTTTCCGTCATCTAGAAGGGAGCAAAACAGCCAGTTATTGCTGATCCGGTTTCTTGGGTGATCGCTTTGAAGAGGACAGGGTTGCAATCTTGCCGCCAGTTCCATATCATCAATGACTGGTTCTTTTACTCATCACTAGATGATGCGAGAACAAGCTGTAGTTTCTGTCGCTCCTGCTTGAACGTGTTACAAGCAGTTGCCAGAGCGTGCAGATCACGCGCTTACGTGTTCCCTTTAATTAAAATTGACTCTACATGTGCATACAAAGAGGTTGGGGAGGACAGTGCTTTTCACTCTGGTCGTGGTGGTGATCTTATGTAGTTAGTACATGTACGCCGTATCAGCCCGCACGTGTAGTGTCGGATCTAATTTGTTGTGCTACACTTTCTGCGCCACCTACAAACCTGCATCAGCAGCAACTACTCCATGCAAAATACTACTTGCCCTTCCACGTGCTTTTGAAATTATCAGGACACCTGGTAACAAGAATACATTTCTCATAGAAGTCAAACATCATGATGAAGTGAGGAGGCCAGGTGTGCAGTACACCAAGCAACTATTAACAAGTTTTCTCACTGTGCTTTGCAGCATGCGCAAATTACCATATCAAGGTGCCCCCCCCCCCCCCCCCTGAATAAATTAATACAGCAACCAGCGGTTTCAGCAGCAGCTGCAGCAGCACGAGCATCTGCCACAACAAACGTCTTCTTCGTCGTTTCTATAGCAGAGCCCGTATTTGTCACTAAAAAAAAAAAATAAAACAATCTGGCTGCGCCTCTGCATAGGGCAGAGCTGTTTTGAGCATCCGATGAGACACACGCAGTCGTTAAATGTATGCGAAACCTCCGATAAACACTTGTCAAAACAAGAGCGCTAATCGGTTCATAAATCGCGCAGAGGATGTGACCGCGCTTGTCCCGTGGTCTTCGTTGCCCAGTTGTCCTAGTCGTGTTGCCAAAATCCTCAGCCCCAACTACCATTCCTGCACCCCGTGGGAGGGTCTCCTCCAAGTGACGGGCGAGGCGCGACAAAATAAATAAACGAGGCAACTTGCGTCCAGTTGTCGCTGAGCGTAAGACGACGACGACGGGGAGGTGGAATCTTCGTGCGCCGCCGGCTGCAGGGTGCACGACTGGACGAACGATCGGGCGACGTCGGCGACTTCCATGACAGCTGCACGCTAGAAAAGGATCCACCCAGGACTGCGAACGAAGCGCGGTGTTGACACATGCGGTTCGAATAGGTCCGGCGCCAAAACCACGCTTGATCGGAACGTTCGCGGATTTAAATGCCGCGTGCGTTGCGCCTCGAGGCGCCGATTGGTCAACGAAACTAACAATGTGACGTATGTTAAAAGCTTCCGCACCACGGAGGAAGGAAAAGGTGTTCCGCACTGATTTTGAGTTCCAAGCTTTTGAAGCCATGCATACTCACAAGAACGTCTAAATTTTTTGTTTACAAGTTCAATAAAAACATGGGGCTATTCATTTATTTATATGCTAAAATAAGACGTAAACGTAAAGTTTTGACTTTCATAGTTTTGATAAATGCACAAATTAGCACTAAAAACTTAACTAAAAACTAAACTTTGGTCACTTTGGTTTATTAATTATTTTTAAAACATCAACGGTAATTTGAAAACATATTTTTACGCGTGGCACAGGACAAAAGTTTGACATTCTAATTGTGACAGAAAGTAGCGCCGCAAAAGCAGTAACTGGTTCTGTAAGCCTAAGCGCAGGGCTTATTTTTCAAAGGGCACGGCTGCTGCTGCGGTGCAGAGCCGTGTTGTAACGAAAGGTCAAGTTATCAAACATCGCTAATTGCAAAGATGATCGGCACATTGATTAGGACGGCAAGTCGTCCGAACGGCTCGATCTAGCCAGGCCCATCGTCGTGCCTGTGACTCGCACGAGCGTGAGACATAGTGGCGGGTGAGGTTTCAGTTATGCTTCCTTAACCGATGCAATGTGTTTAGACCCTTCGGACTTGCTCAAACAATTAATGTCAGTAGGAGTTTGTATGTGCGCTCGTAATATGCCTTCACATTGCAATTATTTGCGTGGTATTGAAGTTCTGTGAAGTGCAACAGTAGTTTCGTTTGTACGTGTGTGTAACCGCGTTATTTGCCAATGAAACTAGACCACACACTCTAGCTGCTGGGAGATGATTTTGACTCCAACCAAAAGTTTTGAAGAAACCCGACGTTTCGAAACCGACTTGGTTCCTTCCTCAGGGGTGACTCCGTGCGCCGAGTGCCCCTCGTCGTATATCGGCGAGACGAAAAACCTACCGGAACGACTGAAGCAACACGCAAACGATGTGTGGAAGTTCTACAAAGAGCGCGGCGCAGTAGCCGAACATGCTGGGACGTTAGATCACCAGATAAATTTCGAAGCGATGGCCATCCTTGAGAGCGAGCCGAACTGGAGGAGAAGGTTGTTACTCGAGTCGTGGCACATACAGATGGACAGCCCATATCATCAACCGCTCCCTTCGGAACCCTTCCCCCAGTGTATACACACGGACTGCGCTCCACGGCAAAATGAGAAAGAGAGAGAGGGGTCATTAGCCACCCCGCGAGTGCTTTGAAGACGCCGCTACTACGTAGCCTCCGCAGTCACCCCTGAGGAAAGAACCAAGTCGGTTTAGAAATGTCGGGTTTCTTCAAAACTTTTGGTTGGAGTCTAAATCATCTCCCAGTTTCATACACAACCAGACAGACTTCTGTCAAATGTTTACATTCAACTCTAGCTGCTGTAACGATGTTTGCGCGAGTAACTTCGCCACCATCCTTCGTAAAGATCACAAAGGTGCGTGAAAAATCTTAGAAAAAAAAGTTATCTCTTTGCATGGCAAGAACACATAGGTTTCACTTCAAGCGAGGATGGCATGATATGTCATCCGAGGTAGCTCTAGGGTCGTGAGGCAAAGCCCAATCCCTGGTTATTGGTAACATTTTCCTTCGCTTATTTTTTTGTTGTTGTTGTTTTCTTACTTTGACAGCTACTTATGAGTTATAACGTACCTATTGTTGAATCATTGATCCTGTTGATAAAGAGAAAACTAACCGGCGAAGCTGCAGTTCACAGGAGTGTCCATGCAATTAATAGCATACCACTTATCTTGACGTCGGGACTGCCAATCATTTAGAGCTGTTTGTGAGTTCCGACGTTGCTGAGGCCCCGAGAAACAAATAATGAAAATGTGTGCCACTTTTCTTTTGTCGCATACTAATTTTCTGTATCTAGTGACACGAATTTCAGATATTACGCATATTTTCAATGACACCAGCGAGACTCGTATCAACTGAGGATTCGCTGTGTAGAGTTTGTTGTGCTGCTATTACGGTTGTTACCGAAGTGCACTGTACTAAGAAATCAGACCGCCATTCTGTCCGTTTTTTCAGCCACGGCAACTGGGTCTACCGCGATGTACCCGAGCCGGACCCGTACGACTACAAGTTGGCGGAGTTCATCATGACCGTAGCGTGGTGGTGGTTCTTCTACCACCTTATCACGGAGCCCGAACACATCACGGTGCGTGCTGTAGTCTGTTTCTGAGGGCCTGTACACGCGCTCCCCGCACAGCCGCAGAACACTTGCCGCACCTGAAGGGAGGGCGGAATGGGCACCGCTCTTTCACCCTCCGCTTGGGTGCGGCAAGTGTCCCGGCACCTGCGTTGCGGCTGTGCGGGGAGCATGTGTGCGGGCCCTTAGAACCACAATTCTGGGTTCGGCATTAAGGACATTTGAGTTTGTCACATTTTGCTCGAACCGGCTTGGCAGCTTTATACAGTCACTAGCTTCTGCATGTACAGTGTCAATTTTTATGAATGGTAACACGGCGACGCGTGACCTGTGCACTCCGGCGATTGCTGGCAGCGCGTTCAAGCGGGAGCAAGCACAGTCTCTTTTCGCATAATCTCGCGGCGAGCAAAACGACCTTTTATTGCTGATCACCTTGAAGGGGGAGAGGGTTGCACTTTTACTGCTGGTTCCATATCAGCAGCGAATGGTTGTTTTCCTCGCCGCGAGGTGACACGAAGGGACACTGTGGTTGCTCTCACTCCAGCTTGAACACGCTGCCAACAGCCGCCGAAGCACGCCGGCCATGCGTTCCCTTTCATAAAAATTGACACTGTACAGTCGCGAACTAGTAAAAGGGAACACTGAGCTTGTTAACAAAGTGTTGCAGTCGCTAAGCGCAGGTGTCAAACACACACACATACACAAAGAAAAGCACGTGGCTGATCCCCCTATAGAGGAATTGGTATAACACAAAAGTGAACCACATCTTCACAGAAGTAGCTGAGCGTTTATTGTGCTTTGTTTCAGCAACAGCCACAAATTTCAAAGTCACTATAGGAACAGCAAGCTGGTCGAAACATGCAGCACGCACCTCAAGCAGAAAGCACGCACAAAATTAGCATGCACAGGATGAGTGCAAATTAACAACTGTCACAGTTCTTCCTGCATCATGTGTAAGCAGTGCTGACTTTCGTAAAAATGGCCGCATGCGAAGTTACCTTCGTCCTCTCCCGAATTACGAGTCGGATAAACGCGCGTGCAGGAGAGACCACGCTCGGTGGGGACAGAGTTTCATGGAGGCAGCGACCTTGAGAGCACCTCGAACGCAAGATTGTCGCATCTGATAACGAAAACGCGCTAAAGTTTCGAAGCTCTGAGGACTGCCCAACAGTGTATGGTGTACATAAATGGCTTGCCGTTAGCACTCCAGACAACGTACGCTTTGTGGCATAGCGGTTAGCACCGCACGCTGAGAATCGAAAGTTGCTGGTTCCATTCCATTTGACAAATGTCCGCCTTCAAAGTTTTTTTTTTTTTGCAATTTCTTAGTATATATCTTTCAACATCACTTCCATGACGGAAGTACTTCACTAGAGCCATGGTGAACCCCGGCATAAAACACTTTCGTGCTGAAACTTGAAGGACGCTTGAGTTTTGCCTTCAAGGGCAGAACTTGATAGCCTAATAGGATTCACGTGTAGTACTGTCTTAATTGCTAGCCTGACTTTGGTTTTAGGTGCATGCCTCGACAGTGCCGCAAGGAAATGAACGTCTCTGTGCGTAATAAGATTGGCACTTTCGAACTGTCCTAGAATTCCTACGGCAGGTACACTTGCATAGTGCTTACTACATGTCCACGTTCATATTAAAACCCAAAAGCCTACTACATATCTGCTCATACTTTTGGCGTCCTTGCTGCTGATTATGATTAAGTATGTGTGAGCACTGTGTGACGGGTGGACTTTTAAAACACCTACTCATTGCACAATTCGCATGTTGCAACACCTGGCACAATTCAACACATCTGCCTTGCAATTTGCAAGGTCTCTTGGAAAAGCATTCGACCTTATTTTATTTTGCGACCACCTAATGGATTTGAAACAAGCGCGCTTGCATAAGCCGACCTTGAACCTTCGTGTGCATGCGTGAATTTTTTCCCACCTGCCAATAGCATCAGTCGCTGGGAAGCAGCAGTTTGAGTGAAATAGAGTGCAGTGCTCTTGTCAGTTTTTCGTTGCAAGGGAAATGACGGAGCGACTGGAGCAGCGCTACTGCATCATATTTTGCCAGAAACTAGGCGACAGCCAACTGGAATCATTCAGATGATCAAGACTGCTCTCGGTGACAATGCTATGAGCCGCACGCAGATTAAGGAGTGGTACAACCAGCTTTAAAGACGGCTACACATCGGTGGAGAGTGAGCTGCGCTCTGGTCGGCCACCAACATGCCGAAATGAACAGGTTGTTGCCGAAGTGAACGCTGTAGTGATGTGGGACCCTCGTGTCACTGTCTGGGAAATTGCGGGAAAGGTGGGCATCAGCACTTTTTCTGCACATTCCAATATGACCGAAAATGTAGCCTTGAAGAGATTTGCGGCGAAGTTGGTGTTGAAACTGCCCACAGTGGAGCAAAAGCAACTTTGTGTCGAAATCTCACAGGACATGCTGAATTTCACAAGCAGTGACCCTAGCTTCATAAACACCATTATCACTGGTGACCAGTCTTGGGTGTACGCGTACGACCCGGACCCCAAATCCCAGTCGTCACAGTGGAAGCATTCCACGTCACCAAGACCCAGTGCCCTCCAATAGCGCAGCAACGTCAAAGTGATGCTGAGTGCTTTCTTTGACTCCTGCAGCGTCGTAAACCAGAGGACGCACCACAGGGTCAAACAATCATACTATAGGGGGCCTCACTCGCTGGATTCTGTGCCGACCTGTTGTGCCCTCACCATCTCCGACGACAGCGCAGCTTTGGCCTACTGGGCTGGTCCTATGCTATCTCCTGTGCCGATCTCCGATGACAGCGTAGCTCTGGCTGACTGGACTC